CAGAATTCAACAAATCAACAATGATATACCTAAAGCTAACTAACTTTTTTATACTCATTATTTAACAAATCAACAAACTAACGTAATTCAACAAATCAACAATGATATATCTAAAGCTAAGTAACTTTTTTTATACTCATTATTTAACAAATCAACAAACTAACACAAATCAACATTAATCATGTCAAATTTAAAAAAAAAAACAAAATTATTCATTCATATTCAGTCGTCTTAATTCTATTTGTAGACCCTCCAATCCATCCCTTAATACATTTAATTCCTGGAGTGATTGGCGAATCAGCCCTGACTCTACCACCCGTCGATCCTCCGCTGCGATTCGCCGCTCCTCCATTTCGAACAAACGCCTGCGTACACTGCGAGGTCCAATGGCGTCTGCTCGACGGCGTCGTCGCTCTGGACGTGTAGTAGCCGTTGAAGTTCTAAAAAAGTTTTATTTAAAAATAATTATTATCATTATTGTTTTCGGTATGCATGATTGGTACTAATAACAGACTTGATGTCTAGGAATATACTAGTGATTAGGACTATAAGCCCCCATTACTAATAATCTTAATATTTACAGAAATATTTTCATATAACAATAATTTATTATGATATAAATTTTTTAATCAATAATAAGGTATAAGTAAGTGTTATTTATTAGTACTGTCTTATCTTTACTTCTTAGTTAACATTGAAAAACTGTGTATATATAAAAAGGTACCAACTCTGTCTCAACTCATATTTCTGCTATGAAGCAGCTGTTCTTGCATAGCTGTATTTCAGTTTGAAAGGTGGGAAAAGGCTATTTAGGTACCTTATATACAGAAATAAAAGGAATGGTAATGCATGAGGAATACTATGGAAGTCACCATGTATTTTGATGACATCCATTATGTTATATATGTCTAGAGATAACAGTTAGCACTATTTTAGTAATGGTTTTACAACATACCTCTGGAAATGCAGGAACATGTGCACCCGACTGAGGTTCTCCAAAGCCCTCTCCCATAATACCCAATATTCTGCACTGTATTGGGTTTAAAGGCTCAGCAGATGATGGCCCTACCCCAGTGGCTGTGGCAGACCTTCGAGCAGCAGTAGCAGCTTTTTTAGTTAGATATTTTTTGTCAGCCCATACCTAAAATTTATAAAGTATCAGTATTGGAAAATTTTATTTAATAACAAAATTATTTAACATTTTAAATGCATATCACGTACTAAAATATCAAGAAAAGTGCTTACCTTCTGCCACTGCTTTACAGTTTTAGTGCATCCACCCAATGCATTGAGTTCGTCTGTAAGACGAACCCATAATTGGGTGGATCTTGTTCGCCCTTCTGCATTTCTACAGTGGCCACGAGCTAACTCCTGGTGCTCTGCTAGGAATGTTAGGAGTGTATGCACTTGTTCCACAGTGGGATTACTCATCTAAATGCATAAATACATTTGTTAGCGCTTGTCATAAATAGAAACTAATAAATAAAATCAAAGTTATTAGATGTTCATTTTCATTGATGTTTAACGAACAAATTTAGCAATAAAAAATTATTTAAAACACTTGTGATGATAATTCTTAAGTTTATATATAAAAAAATAAAAACAAAAATTCAAATGTAAATAGAGGTTTGACGTTTTCTTATGACATAAGATACTACTAATTTTAGAAGTTTATAATTTCAATACATTTAAATATAAACGACTGTACATTTTATTTTATCCGGAGTATACCACTTTATTTTTTTCCTAATTTAAGAGTGTATAATAAAAGACTTCTCATCTTTCATTCGTTCACGATCATAGTCTATGGTACCCGTCCGAAATATCTTATTCCGAAGAAACTTCATGGTTCCTTTAAACTAGTATTTCGGTCGTCTTTCGTTTCGTTACGCGATAATCGGCAGTAACTTTCGTGGTAGACCTACAGAGCCTTGCGGGACGCCAGCGTTAATGTCCATGCTATTGGAGCAACTACCGTCAACCATGGTTTTGATGCATCTGCCAGACAAAAAACTAGCGACCCATTTGCATAATCCCTCTGGTATTCCGTATGAGGGCAATTTCGATAGGAGACCTTGATGCCAAACCCGATCGAATGCCTTCGCCATATCAAGGCTGACTGCCAACGCCTCACCTTTGCTCTCGATGGCAAGAGCCCAGCGGTGTGTGAGATACACTAAAAGATCACCAGTTGAGCGATTATGGCGAAAGCCATATTGACGATCGCTCAATAAATCGTAATCTTCTAGGTATCTGAGGAGCTGTGTATTAATTACACGCTCCATCACCTTGGAGAGCAAAGATGCGATAGCGATAGGCCTGTAGTTTGATGGGTTTGACCTGTCGCCCTTTTTTGGCACAGGGTGCACAAGGGTGGTCTTCCATGACGACGGAAATTGCCCAGAGGAGTATGAAAGCGCGAAGAGGCGCGTGAGTACGGGACACAACTCAGGAGCACACTTCTTTAGCACCACAGCCGGTATACCGTCTGGCCCGTTCGACTTGTTGACGTCGAGAGACAGCAACTCTCGTCGGACACTCCGTTGTGTTACGGATATTTCCGGCATAGAGTTACCACACCAAGGGATGGTAGTAGGTATGGTGTTCCCAGCGTCTAAAGTCGAATTTGAGGCAAAAAGAGCGCACAACAAATCGGCCTTCTCTTTTGCACTATGTGCCAAGTTATCATCCGGCTTCCGTAGTGGTGGTAAGGACGACTGACTAAAATTACCTTCGGCAGCTTTAGCAAGGGACCAAAAGGCTCGACTTCCAGAAGGATGACGGGCTAATCGCTCCCCAATTTTGCTGACGAAGTCGAATTTGGCTCTAGCAATTACTCTTTTACTAAACCTGGACGCAGCATTTAAATTCCGCCTCGCATCAGATACGCCAACATCCCTGTTGGAACGAGCCGTGGTCCAAGCCTGATAAGCAGTTTCTTTAGCCTGTCTGGCTTCTCTGCATGACCTATTAAACCACGGTCGCTTTTTCGCCCCTGAAGCAACAAGCAGATTTGGAATGAAACATTCCATACCCGCAAGTATGACTTCAGTAACGGCGGCTGTACAGGTATCGACGTCTTCTGATGCAAAGCAGTGCTGCTTCCATGGGTACGACGCGTAAAATTCTCGCAATCTGTCCCAATCTGCTGACTTATAATGCCACATGCGACGTCGACCAGGTGTTCGGTGTGTGGCAGGTTGTGTGCACTGTACTTGGGATCGAATAAGACAGTGATCCGAAGAACCAAGAGGCGCTTCCACGGTGACTGCATATTCGTCCGGACCTGTAGTCAGCAGAAGGTCCAGTAAGGAGCTCGTATGGGTCTCGATATCTGGTATTCTCGTTGGAGAATGAACCAGTTGTGAGAATCCATAGGCCAGGGCAAATTCGTGAGCAGTTCTCCCCGCATGGTCAGTGATTCGAGAACGGAGCCACTCGGTGTGATGGGCATTAAAGTCTCCAAGTATCACTAAATTCGCGGAGGGATATTGCTCGAGAACTTTATCAGACGTGATTTGAAGGTGCTCAAACAGACGAGTCGTGTCCTCGTCACCGCTATGAGACCTGTATAGGCACGCGTAGATACCGGTGTACTCACCCTGATCTACGCGTACCCATAGTACTGACAGGTCTTTTTTTTCTAGGCCAAGAAGGCGGCGACAACAAATATCCTCCCGGACATACAAACATACCCCAGCTCGACGCACAAATTTGTGCTCAAGTGTATACCCGGGATACGTAAGGTACGACGTATCAGCCGGACAGGATATCTGTGTCTCCGTAAGGAACAGAAGGGTCGGCTTGGCGGTCTCGAGGTGATGGTGGACCGCATTGATGTTTCCGTGTAGTCCCCTGATGTTACAGAAATCCATATTAATAGTGGATAGGGGTGCCGCTGATTTAATGCGATTCCTTTTCTTTTTTCTGGCCATTTGGGTATTGTTTTTTTAAGGTTGGAGGGGAATGATCGCGCCGGTATTAGAAAGGACAAAGTATGTGTCAATGCACCTCAGTATTGCACAGGTTTGGCAATTTGGTGGCACAGCGGCCGGAAGGGCCCCGGTCCCCCCACTGGTGTAGCAGCCGGGTCCACTCCGGTCTCCTTCTCCGGCACGACTACTACACCAGGGATTATGCGCAGGCGGTGGTTCAGCCTCCCAGGGCGGAGATTAAGTAATCCCTGGGTTCGGGAACCCAACAACCTGCGGGCGGCCAGCGGTTAGCCGTTTCACCGGGTCTCCCTGAACGCTGTGCCACCACGTCGCGCCTATGCAATCCCGCGGCACTGTTGAACACACAGGTCCTCAACACCAGCACAACCAGTCCCCGCGGGGCTCTGGTCACCTTACACACCACAGGAACACAGTGCTGTCGCAAGTACAACACTATTTGGCTGTGGTTTTCTGCTTGGTGGAGGTACTACGCCAGTTCGGGCCGCCCCAAGTCGAGCAAGATGTATCAAAATACATCAAGCTATGCCCTCCCTTCGATAATATTAGGGTACCTGAAATAAAATAAATATTTTGTTGTATTGTAATGAACATTGATATATGTATAACAAGCTGTACCCGCGACTTCGTCCGCGTGGAATTTAACTTTAAAAATAAAAGTAGCCTACTCCTTGTTACATCAGCGACCTACCAAAAAAGCCCCGTTAAAATCGGTCCAACCATTTAAAAAAATAATATTTTGGTGTATGTACTGTATTTATATTCATATGCATTTAGTAAAAAACGGTTATTTCATTATTACAAACAGAAACACTCCAATTTTATTTATATGTATAGATAAGACATTTATGTTGTTTATGTATGATGAAGTTCTTGAATCTCACTTTATATGTATCTTTGATATATTTATATAGGATAGGCAAAAGGGCTCAGCCCATAGCCATTATCTTTGATTTGATGTCATATTTTTATGCAAGTTTGTCAAACTGACATTTGTTTGACATCAATCAAGCCTTCATTTTCATATATTGTCGGCTCTCAGTCTGTTTCTGTTCTTCATGTCATGTATAATACCATCAATATGTGATTTATTATATAAAACATAATATCATAGCTTATAAACAAGAAACAAAATCTAATTTTAAATTTATTCAAGACACTGATTCAGTTTTTTAAAACTGAAACTATTACATTAAGTATCAGAACATGTCCGCAAGCAAATTAGATGCAGTCTACAGAAGTATTCTCTTAACAAAGTTTTTTACGAAAGGTTGGGGTAAACCGGAGAATTTACGCAGGTTTGAATATATATTGTAACTTAAATTACTCGTTTGGAATTATTCATTGATCTAACTACAACGCTATTTTAAATTTTTAGGTTATTTGAGTTCAGAAAAGTAGTATCAAATCGCGAGGAATGCTACAAATTGATTGATAAAGATTATCCAGTTACTATTACAAAAGTAAGTACATATAGGTATTTAGGCAAAAGTTACTAATTTAAAATTTCAAAGGACAGCTATATTTCCACTATAAAATTAATAAATTGTGTATATATTTGTCCTTGAGTGAAACCAAACAAGGTTGCTTATGTAACATATATTTAAAGTTTATAGAAGGTAATAAAAAATATATATAAATATATATTATTGAAACACAAATTATTCACAAATCAATTGTCTACTAAGTCAATTAATATACTTTTCCTTGATGCTACTATTTAAAAAATAACTTCTTGAATAATTCTATTGTATGTATTCTTTGTCTTTATCTGAAATGATATCTTCACCAATTCTGCATGGTTTATGATGATTATTTTTGTAATCAGTTGGATTTTCTCATAATTTAGGTTAATAGCAATTTTTTTCAGTATTAAAGTAGGGTCTATTCATATTAAACTAAATTATAATAAAAGCAACAATTGCTTAATTTTAATTCTTTGGATCATATGACTTCAGTATAATTAGCATAATAATCCAAGATTTTTTTTTCACCTAAACATAATTTTATGTCTTTTATGAGAACCAACCCCAAGATGGACAATGCCTGACATTGTCCATCTTGGGGTTGGTTCTCATAATAATTATGTCTTCAAAGGCTTCTTGTCTATGTTTAATAGGTCGTTATTTATGGCACCTTTTATGGTCCTTGTAAGTCAAGTACATACACACTGCTGATAAAGTTTGATCTTAAACACTTTTCTAATCATATGGTCTTCTAGTCTTCTCACGATATGACCCAGGTAATCTGGACCCAGCTAATTTATCATGTACCTACACATTCGTAAACATTATTCTACTTGCAAATTGTATTTTTACAGGAACAGAACTTCTCAGATTGCAAATTACTGGAAGGATATTTTTTATCACCTTTGGAAAAATATTTACCTGGAATAGTTCCTGAAGTTGCTCAGAAGGCTCACTTTCAAGCATTATTGCCTGTGCATTGGCAAGAAAAAGGATGTAAACCAGTTTGCCTTCATCTTGCGGGCACCGGTGATCATGTAAGTATATCTTTGTTTCCTACAAGAATTATATTATAGTAAACCTGAAAAAGTCAATTTTACTATTTGACTAGACATAGACTATAAAAAATGCATGGGTAACTCAGTCTCACCTATTTCAGCTGCCCAGCAGGTTGCTATGTAAGTTGTTTTAGTTGTAGGTAGTTGCAGGTTAGGCAGTAAAATACATAAAAAAACTAAATAATCTGTTGATTAATAAATTTAGATCACTTGACTGATATAAATAATCAATAACTTATTAACATGAACCTTGTTACAAATGACTAGTCCTTAACAAATCTAATTCTGGAAACACACGATTCTTCTTGAATTGTACTATAAGCTAGGATTAGCAGGATGAAAAAAAAAATATCTAATACAATTGTATGTACAGTAATATAGGAATATCAGTTTGAAAAATTAAAAAATAAATATTCTATAATTTTGAAGATAGTGATAATTAAAGATTCTGTTCTATAATTATATAAACTTCGGAAAATATTTTTAGTATATTATAGCTATGTGAATGTAAGTTTATGTTTTTAATATGTTTAAAAACATTTTATATATTTGACTATAAATTTCGGTCTATATAAAAATTCCTCAAAACATGATGGTCCAATTTTAGCCTCAAGGTATAATTAGACTTTTGTAAACACTTACCTCTTTGTAAACATCTAGTATCTAGCAATTCAAATATCAATTTAGCTCTAAGATCTCTTATCTTAAGCTTCAGTGTTGTCACAGTAGATGTTGACACTGTCTAATGTATTGATGCATATATATAGTAAATGTAAACATGACAACAACAGCAACAACAACCTAAAAGAAAAGTTGGCGCCAATCCATAATATTGATGATAATGTGCGTCATTGTGTTTGTATCACAGATCACCCACAAAGTCGTATATTTTATTTTTATTACTTACAAGTTCACTAACATAGTTTTCGAAAATTTTAGTGTTAGTGAACTTGTAAGGAATAAAGATTTATTTATTATTATTTGTGTATTTTGTGTGTAATAAAATTAACACTATATAATATAGTATATTCTATAGTGTTAATTTTCATTTCATTAGTTAACTGTTCAATCTTCTATTTGAGTATTATTTTCCTTATGTTAGCATGTTCAGTATAAATGAGTATATTTGGTCGTTTCAGTTTTTTTGGCGGCGACGAAATTTAATGGTGAAACCATTACTAAAAGAAGCTGGAATAGGCGGTATTATACTTGAAAATCCTTTCTATGGGCTTCGAAAACCTACCGATCAAGTGTAAGTCTCTGTACAATTATAATCCCTTCCCATATGAAAAGATTATGATGAACTACATAAACATAATCTTATATTATATGGTATCTGTAATTATAACTCTGGTTCAACTTTAATTTTGGTTTTGACATCCTGGACATTACCTTTTCATCAATCTTTTGTACCAACATGATTCCACTGCTTTTACTAGTATGTATCTATTATCATCATCATCTTAAATTAGCACTAATTTCAATATTCGTCAATTACTATAATGTTGTTCATTTGCAGTCGTTCGTCTCTACATAATGTATCAGATATATTCGTAATGGGCGGCTGCCTTATCCTGGAGTCGCTGGTGCTATTCCACTGGTGCGAGCGCAACGGATACGGGCCACTGGGTGTCACAGGACTATCAATGGGAGGTCATGTTAGTATCAATTTAAACCTGTCTCAACAAGTACAATAAGATTAAATACATTATTAACTGAGATATTTAAAAGTAGTACATAAATAGATATATATATATATATATATATTACTGTGTATTTGTATATTTTCCGAAAAAAAAAAAACATTTTATTAGTTAAACACATAATAATGTTTTGATGTTAATTATTATGGGACACAGTCACCTAGATACATAAAATAATAATTGCATTTAATAATGTCGAGTAAGACAAATTCAATATTGTCTACTAGGCACTGCTGTATCTAAACTGTGTCACCCCACCTTATATTTTCCTACTTTTATTTAGTATATAAGATCATTATTTCTATGTACACATTCAGTTTATCATCATCTGTAATATACATCGTCTCGACCAACATCTTATTATTCACCCGCAACAGTGGTGACCCCGACGTGATCTGGCCGACGTGGTCGAGACGATACCTGGGAAAACGACGAGATCAAACAAGAGATCTCTGTCTGACGGCATCCTGCGCACCACCAACGATTGCACATTTCCACCGGTTTCCCAGAAGCGGGTCTCACCGGCTCGGAAATTCAAGAGGCATAAAATTCGTTGGCAATACTGGGCAACAAGGATCCTGCCGTGCTACTGACCCCCCAGTAAACACAACTGCCTGCTGGATATAATCTCTGGACGAAAAATTGAAACTGGAAAAATAAAGCCAAAATTCTGTCTACAAAAGTACAGCCAACAGTTACCGCCGACGTCATTGCACACCTGTCGTCACTAATTGCGACACTGCGATCAGAAATTGCTGATATACGCGAAAAGCGCTCGCCACACACAAACAGACGCAGCAACTACCGATCTAGGTCAAATTCGCACCTACGGTCATTGCATAGTCAGAAAAATTACTATTATTTATATTATATCATCGCAAATATAAAGAAAAGGCATACAAACGTGACATGCCGCGCTCCTATAGACAACCGTCGGAAAACTAGATTCGACACAGAATAAGACGGAACGCTGTGCTGTTCATCCGTCTAACCGCCTAGCTATAACCGACTCTAACAGTGGCTATAGAATGTTGGTGGACACCGGAGCAAAAATCTCGGTGAATAAAAAACAAGCACAGACCAAAGAGAGCGCTAGCGAAATCAAATTATTCGCCGCAAACAATTAATATGAGCAAATGCGAGTTCTTCACAAATGAGTTGGATTTTCTTGGTTATCATATAACGAGCCAAGGGATGAAACCAACGCAAGAATCGACGAGTACCCTAAACCCACGACAGTCGAAGATTTACGTCGTTATTTGGGTATAATGAATATTTATTGTTACTAAAATGGATAACGTCTTAAATTTTACAATTAACCTTTATAATTTTTTTTATGTGTAATATATATTTTTTTTTCTCTCAAGGGGGGAATATCTATGGGACACAGTCACCTAGATACATAAAATAATAATTGCATTTAATAACTAGTAAGACAAATTCAATATTGTCTACTAGGCACTGCTGTATCTAAACTGTGTCACCCCACCTTATATTTTCCTACTTTTATTTAGTATATAAGATCATTATTTCTATGTACACATTCAGTTTATCATCATCTGTAATATACATCGTCTCGACCAGCAAATCATATTATTTACCCGCAACAATTATCATTACATTTTTATTATACAAGTACTAAATGCTAAACCATAGTTTCGCATTGCATTTAGCAATAGGCAAAAAAAATTTACATAATTAAATAGACAGAATTTCCTTTTGAAAATTAAATTTTCATATGGTCATAGAATATTGAGAGTATAATGTTTACAAAAATATATATTTAATGTTTTCAGATGGCGTCTCTGGCAGCAACAAATTGGCCTAAACCCTTAGTTTTAGTACCATGTTTGTCCTGGTCCACAGCATCTGCAGTATTTCTACAGGTATCTTATAACATATTTGTTTTACCAGTACCTATATTATCATAATCCATATGCAGCTTACTAAATTATAAGATTATTAACCTTTGTGTATATAAATAACATACACACACACACACACACACAGTATAAATTAAATATAAAACAAATATCTTTTAAATTTTTAAAATATATTTTCATATAAACAAAAGAATCATACCTTATTTCAGGGTGTTATGTCACAATCAATAAACTGGGACTTGTTGGAGGACCAATATTTGTCAGATGGCATCTACAGAGAGAAACTGTCTAAGATGGTCACAATAATCGACGAGGCGTTCCTGGCCGGCAAAAAGTTTGCACAAACTTACTCTCAGAAAATGGACAACACAGCACAAACAAACGCACAAGCAGATAAAACTCTTTTGAATAGTGTTAAGTGTAATAGTACAGAAAAGAAACTAGATATTACATACAAAGAATCTAGTCGTGCCAAATTAGACCCACCAAATATTGTAGATGTTAGTAAAAATTTAGAACTAAACAATAAAGTGCCTAAAAATGTTGTACGATCGAAGTCGTATGAAGACATAGAAAAATTAAAAGAAGAATTAAAGAGATTATTAGAAGAGAATAAAATTACTAGGATCTTGTATGAGAAGCTGATATCGAATGATAAATTTGAATTGAATCCAGAAGAAATTGAAAATATTAACAAGTTAAATGAAGAGAACATTAAAGGAATACTACTAAAATGCAAAATGGGTAAGTATTGACTATGTCATAAAATTATCTAAATATATCGTGGTATTGTCACCACAGGGTAGGCAGGTAAAACATAGGCAGCCTAAAGACAACATAATATAAATCAATAACTTGGTAAACTTTTACAGATACTCTAAAAATTGATTCCAGTGAAGCACATCAGCCATCACAGAATACTACAGCATCAGCTAACGAAACAATACAAACAAACATATCCACTGAGATTGAAATTCAAAAAAGTCCATCCATCGAAGAAAAACCTACTACTATACAGAAACCAGAAATGAAGGTAAACATATTAGAAAAAGAAGGCAATAGCAAACCAGAGAAAAAATCCTGGAATGTCTCAGACTTGACTTCTGACTTTTGGGTAAATTTGCCATTCCTGCGATCAAGTGGAAAGAAGATTGATATAAACAAGATCCATTGGAGGGACAGAGAAGCATTACAGTTTATGAGAGGCATCATGGATGAGTGCACACATTTAAGTAACTTCTCTGTGCCATACGATACATCATTGATTATAGGTAAAGTAAATGATTTACTAAAACTATTACTATGATTTTCTTTTAATTAATATAAATTTACGCATATCTATTGTTAGTAAATTGCGACATACATACATAAGTACTTAAAATTACCGCTACCAATTACCATTATTATGATAGTTTAATTTAGAAACTCAATTTAATGATTATTTTTTTATATTTATTTAACTGGTTAGAAAAAGGTACGGTCCAAGCAACGGGTACAAGCTACGGTCACAAAAATAGGCAACCGCCACATGTCCCACCATAGGCTAAGTTAATTAGTACCATGGCCTGTGGTTATTGATAATGTAAGTTTTACGTATTGATGTATTCTAAAAACGATATCGTCGACAGCCGTGTGCGCGAAGCACGACGCATACGTTCCTCGCGAGGACGTCGGTCGGCTCGAAGAGATCTGGCCCGGCGCTGAGGTACGATACGTCGACGCTGGACATGTCTCCGCTTATATACTTCACCAGTCACTCTTCCGGTATATATCACATGCAATTTCTTATAAAATAAATAAATAATTGGTATATATAATTGCAAACTTGAGCTCAATTTTATAGCACGCGATCTGCAAGGTAACTAACTATAAAAGCACTTAGCGCGAATTGGACCAGCGTCGCCTTAATGATTTTGTTAAGTTTTATATAATAAACTATACCTTGCATAGATTTTCGTTACACTTCACTTGCCTACCCAAATTGAATAGTAAGTCTCGAAGTAAGTGAAGTCAATTTGGATAAATTGACTTCATTTATCCGCGTCAATTTATTATTACTTCTTTTAAACTTACTCTTTCTAAATTTATATATAAAAACAATAAGATTTGAATTAATATATATCTGATATATTTTTTTACACAGGTCCTGTATAAAGGAAGCTTTCGAGCGCTCAAAAAAGAAATGGATAGATGGTAAACACATTAACTGACACCTGTATATGTGAGAAGCCTGTTTATTGGCTTCTTTATATCTAATGTGATGTTCCTGCCATTTAGTTTGCTCAACGTTAACAAGGGAATTGTAGCAACAGTGTTTTTACTATAATCATGAATTAAATTGTCTTATGAATTCTATTTAATTTCTACTATTTATTAGCTAAAATTTACTCTTTATATAAAACACAATATTTTGCACAAGTTGCCCATTTAGAGAAATCTAGTCTGTTTTCTTAAATATACTTCATATAGACATGAAATATAATTCATATATTTTTTCATATACAATTTTGATGTTCTGTAATTTTTGCAATCAATATCATCGAGCAATAGTTTGTAGTATTGATAAATATTTATGTATTATAAAAAACGTTAAGGGAATTCTATTATTATTCCTTCTATGAAGTACAAAAATGAGTTTATAAACTAGGAGTGATAAATTTACAATCGTGCAATGCTTTTAGGTACTTTTTATTACCGACTCACATGTATATAAGATGTTATTCTCTATTGAGATTATTGTAAAGTGTAACTATATTTTTATAAATAAATATTGTTTTTATTACTCCGGAATTCTATTTATTTGATCAAAAGCAAATCCAAATCCAAATATAGCATTAAAACATGCCAATGGCGGAAGCACTTCACTATTATTAACAAAAACATTGTGCTAACGGTAAACATTCATTAGAATAAACCCATAGTAGTGAAAGGTAAGGGGTTTCTTAGTAATGTGGGCTACTCACTCCATATCTAGCAATGTACAATGCAAGGTTCACGTCCACGCGGTTTCTCCTGGAAACCATTGTGAATTTATGACATATCCTGGTGAATATGCTCAGATGAACTTACTGCTCATCTTATCATACGCTACTGGTGCCCTGCCAGCATAAGCCGCAAGCGAGGCGAATGCGGCATTTCATTATAATCAGTAAAAAAGTAGTTAATTTCATGATCAAATAGCTTTCCATGCGTACCTGCCTATCTACTTCGGAGTCTAACCTCAAACTGGATTTCAATTTAATCCAGTTTCATACTGTTCTTTTGAAACGTAATCGACAGTAAACCGAATAAACAAATAACAATGTCAGTGTGTTCTTTCATTAACCACAAAATATGTCAATAAGTTTCTAGTGTTTAATTTTAGAACAAATGGAATGATTGGTGTATATAGTATTTTGATGCCTTGTTATTGCCAGGTTTCAGTACTTGGCCAGTAAGGGAAATTGGTACTAGTAGGGTATTTTTTGTAAGCAATGATAATGGATTGGTTCCTACCCTAGGTTTACGCCGGCGGACACCAGTGGTGGATAACAAAATGAGTAAGATCAATTAGCCCATTGTGACGAATTCATCAGTACACATTGCCCTTTCCCCTAGTAGGGTAATTACACTTATGGATACAAATGCTGTCTACCCAGCAGTAGGATGTTAACACCATCAGTATTACACAAATACCTCTGCATACTATCGTGGTTAATTCCCCACGTTAGGCTTAGCGTCCTCACTTCATTATCATCCTGACATCGTTCTCCCGCAAGAGCTGTTAGCGCAGTCATTAGCGAAGTCAGAGCATCATTCCATCATGCATTAAAAAAGTAGATTTTTATAACCAATGAAAGATATTGATAGAGAAACAAATACTTTTTATTCAGAATTATCAACCATTATCGCATTGTAACAAAACTCCGACATAAATAAATAGTACGTGTAAGTAAAAAACTGACTTCAACGATACATACAATGTATTTATAATTACAGCTGATTACATAGCCTTTCCGTGTATCCTATTAATATTAATTAAAATTTTAAAATAATAGAAAAAAAGTTTAATCTGAAATCGACCATATTTAAAGCACAATTGGGAACATATTGGAAGGTAATAATCATAAACGTGTGTGGTCATTGATGGCAAATAACATTCAACTTTCTTGAAGATTACTTAAAACTACTCAACATTTGGCCGTCACATTGTTTCTATACTTAAATAATATGAGGCCAACCATTGAATGCTACGAAATATTACGTGTTTTACCGATATAACGTAATAAATAAGATTTCTTTTATAATGTGCAAACATCTCAAAATAATCTATTATCTGAAAAATTAAAACATCCACCGCAGGACTTTAATATTTTAGAATAAATGTGCATTTCACATTTATTCTAATATATAAATAATTCGAAAGAACATATAATTTCTATATATATGCATATATCCTTATAGGACTATCGTAGCCTTATAACAATTTTACTTGAGAGCAAAATAGACAAGAGACGAAAATGTAGGCTTTATTTAAAGCGGATGAAGCAGACAAGATAGTTAGAAATACTTGCAAATTTATTCTAACATTATTAAACTAGACATTATTAAATGCAATTATTATTTTGATGTATCTAGGTGACTGTGTTCCATACAGTGCAATATAGTATACTAGCGACCCACTCGGCTTTACAGAGGTGCAATTATTTTATGGATCTCTAGTTTTTAAAAATATATAACCCATGTTTCTAGCTCGTAATATACCTTTCTAGAGGTGCAATAATTAAGTCAGTTAAGTTTTTATTGAGTTTATCATCATAAACTAAAATTAAATCTTACCTCTATGTCATATAGTAACTATGGTATATGCAGACGATACTTTGAAGATAAAAAATACACTTGCTTAAGAGTCTTATCTCAGTTCTGCCTTATCAAGTAGAATGTAAATATAGTAGCGGCGCTATAGTGTCCATTTAATATAGTTTTATTAAATGTTATTTTTTTTAAGGTATTAAATATTAATATATATTAACAACTCAAAAATTAATACCTATGTTAAGGATCTGCACAAACGAAAGACTTTGTCTGAGAAACAATTGTGTCAGCCGTAGATGAATCCGAGTTTTATTTGATCTAAAAAAATAAATATACTGAAAATGCCCGTCGTTTCCCTATATTTTTTATATACAGGCATATTTCTTAGGCTATAAATAGAACTATTATATAGATATTGCATTGTCTGCGTGCTACAGGAAATAAAATTTTGGAACACACAATTGTATGTGGAAAATCCATTGCTAGTACAGTTACTAAGATTTTAGTAACAGTACTAACAATGGAATTTCCAATATATTAAGTAAAATCATGCAATGTTTTCTGCAATTTTTTTTATATTTTATGATAAAAGAGTCTGTATATCCAATTTAACAAACATTTTTATAATGAAGATGTCTTCATACATAGTGTTGTGTTCAGCCTAGCACACACAACACAGTAGCGCACATCAGCACACAGGAAAATGTCTCATAATTTACTCTACGGAAACAACTGTGAAGGTTCAAATAGGAAAATAACGACTACGTTATGAACTTTCATTGATTAAAATCATAATCTAACACATTCTTATAACAACGCAACAAATACACAGGTAATAAACACAAAGAGGGCTAACTTCTTCGTAAAATTTAATTGCAGTAGTCTTCTACTCTTACGATTAGCTTATAATAATAATTTTAGAGTCTATATGATACATGTCTACAATGCTCTAAAGTTAAAATGTTTCAATATTACTTACAAACTACTGAGTTACCTTACAATTAATTATTCATTTCTTAAGCAGCATGTTTCTGAAATCGCTATTACTGAGCGGCCGCTTCTCCCCGTTAGTGTGGTCGCCATTGGTAGCGGCTTTGCTGGTCGACGGTTTCTGTAGTACGCTCGGTATAAAACTGCTTAATTGTGTCCGCCGCCTATCAATAATATAAAAAAAGGCGTTTAGGGCGTGTTTAAAAAAAAACAAAAGCCCAAATAAGGATTCGTACTGCCTGTAGATTCCTAGTACAATATGTAAGCACATTTATGCTTTGTTACAATATTTATATAGCTTTAAAAACATTTGAAAGTCATTAATAATATCATATTACATTACCAGCCGTTAGAATTAGCCTGTGTGAATTTCGGTAATTAGCAATCTCTGTTTTAATCTAGCATATAGTCTATCATTTTTACATAACAAAGTAACTAACATTCATTCTCACCAAATTCTGCATTTATAAATCAACTTTTCTCGAACTCAAAAACAATATACTCAGCCCCCTGGTGGTATTTTGCTTGTTATTTTTCAGCTTACCAAGAGTAAATCTTTTTAGGAAGAAGTTCGCTTGGTAAGATTTGTTGAATGAAAATAAGATAATAAAATTACAGGATAAAAAGTATGTCCTTCGGAAGGGCAATCCATATACCACGGGCTTCACATGATAACTTGATATTCATGTTCCTGTCCAATACGTATGGGTGATGGTTACACCTTACTATGGGCCTACTTAAGGGCCGTTACATTATTTGTAATTTTTAATAGCATAGGGGACAAACGAGCACTCTCAACACCATGTGCATTGCAAGCTCGTTACCGGCCTTTTAACAAGGAATACACTCTTGAAGGTTTCAATATCGTATCGGTTCAGGTATATCATTGCTAGAAGGTGATTCCACAATGTAGTGTATGGCAAAAAGTTGCTATTCAGTTACATAAAAAAAGTATGGTGTACGTACATGCCGCTGCTGCTGTCCCTCTTGGGCTGGCCGAGGACGGGCGTGGGCGCGGTGGTCGGTCTCGGGGGCGGCGAGCTGAGCGCGACCCCGAGCTTGCGGCCCGCCACCACCAGCGCGTCGGCCTCCGCCAGCGCGGCCTGCGCACCCGCCTCGTCCTCGTACTCCACGTACGCCAGCCCCTTCGGTTTACCATCCCTGAGATTACAAGCACACTCAATATTTCAATTGAATGAAGTTAATATTCGAATACCACCTAAACTCCCTAGACCGGGGGAAAGGGGATTGTTAGCAACGTGAAATAATAACCCCATTCCTAGCAATGTACTATGTCAGATTGACTCCCACATGGCTCCTTCCTGGAAACCATCGCGACAAATTCATGGTGAATTTACCATGATGGAAGACCTGACTTTATGCTCATCTTATCATCCTCCACTGGTGCCCTGTCAGCATAAACCGTTAACGCAGGCCGGTGTATCATTCCATTATCATCAATTAAAAAAACTCCCTAGACCGAGTGGATATGGGGTATATATATACATTACTGTTATTCATATAAAGAACCAATTTTGGTTCTATCTATATTCATTTATCTTTACTTATTTACTCTTAAATATATCCAAAACTATAGAATAAGGTTTTTATTGGTGTCAATGGTAGAAACACTCAGCTACAGTAACTGATGGCCATATCAGATAACAGTTAAACTATAAAATAAACATGTTTACATAAACTACTTACTTATGTGTCACAACCCGTATGTCTTTAAGTTTGCCGTACTTTTCAAATATATCTGTGAGGGCTTCTTTTGTACAATGTCCGAACGGCAGATTCTTCACAAACAATTTATTCTTTTCCTCTGTAGTAGGGTACTTGAAGGTGGGCTTTGATTTTTCCGCTGAGTACCGTGATAAAAACATGGGCCGTCCATTTAGAGGTGTTCTGTCATGTTTTATTGCTTTCTCCACTGCCTCCTGAAATTTTAAATTATTCAAACTAGTCATTAGTGACTTTGGCGAATTGATAAACGTAATCGATGATTCGTGACATAAATATTAAAAACAAACAAAAAAGTAAAAATAGGTATAGTGATATCGGTAAATCACTTGCAAAAAAAATAGGCTGAAGACGGTAACAAAACTGCATGCATGCAATAATGCTGGACTAACCGGTGTTTTGTATTGGCAGTAACATATTGAACCCCCGAATGCTTTGACGCCAGTCCTTACTCGAAATGACACAACGTCACCATATTCTGACAGCTTATTCCTTAAACTCTGTTCATCCACTCTGCAATTAACACAATTACAAAAATTACAACATAATTGATAACCGTAATAAACATATTATTGCGAAATGGAAATACATATTAATTACAAGTACATTTTAATTCACCATCAAAAGAAATTGACAACCAAAATCCACATCAAGTTTTCCACATTTAGCCCTTGCATTTTGGCGGTTGTGCATGTAAAGCCTACTAAAGTACCCATCCGAACTCCTTATAGAAGCATAGAAGCTATCTAGTATCGATAGTAAATGACGATAGTGGTACCAATAAATACAAAACTAATTTCTATATAGCTTTTGAAAAAAACTATTAATTAATATGATTGAATTCAGGGCCTTCTCCTTTTTATGTTTTAAACTTTTTTGTTTTAATTATGCCAATATATTAAGTAAAAAATATATTTATATATAGCTATAAATTAAAAGAATTATAGTTAATGTAAGTATTTGTAACTATTGTATTTAACATACTTGAACTCTAAATTGCTGACAAACAGCGTGCATGCGTCTCTAGAGGTAACTTGGTTGCTTGATTCATTATCAGTCTTTTGACGTTTGCTGTCAGTAGCTGAAAAAAATATATAAAAGAAAAAAATTGTTAATATACTTTCAAAAACAGAATTAATTAACTAAAGTTAAAATAACCGAACTGTACTATGATAGTAGTTAATGATTACTTCAACAATTAATAAAATTATTGTAATAATACCATCAAAATCATTGTTATCCTGTTCATGAGATCTCTTGACTCCACTGCTTTCAGCATTCTGTATCTTGTCGTCGATATCCATACTTTCGTCTTTTTTCTTCTTGGCTTCAATGTCTTTATTGTCTTCGTCTGACTTCCTTTTTCGGTTTGGCCTGTCATCCTCTCTTTTTTTCTTTTTATTTTCAAATTTTGCTTTTTTATTATCCTGTTTCAATTTCTGTTTTTTGCCTGTCATCTTCTCTTTCATGGCTTGGTAGTTTTCACGCCATTCCTTTAATTTTGCCTGCAAAATTATATTACAGTATTAATTGGACGGCATAAGTGGGTACACCGAACAGTACAGATTACTAATAAAATTATTGACCAAATAATTAAATTAAGTTTCATGCTACTATTTGATAATAATGGAGTGAATCTCGTAGAGGTCGGTCCACAGTCCACGGTCCCCGTCGCCGCGCTCGCACTCACCTCGCAGAGCTCGGCGCAGTCGGCGCGGGCGGGCAGGCCGCCGCGGTCGGTCCACGGTCCACGGTGCCCGTCGCCGCGCTCGCACTCACCTCGCAGAGCTCGGCGCAGTCGGCGCGGGCGGGCAGGCCGCCGCGGTCGGTCCACGGTCCACGGTCCCCGTCGCCGCGCTCGCACTCACCTCGCAGAGCTCGGCGCAGTCGGCGCGGGCGGGCAGGCCGCCGCGGTCGGTCCACGGTCCACGGTCCCCGTCGCCGCGCTCGCACTCACCTCGCAGAGCTCGGCGCAGTCGGCGCGGGCGGGCAGGCCGCCGCGGTCGGTCCACGGTCCACGGTCCCCGTCGCCGCGCTCGCACTCACCTCGCAGAGCTCGGCGCAGTCGGCGCGGGCGGGCAGGCCGCCGCGGTCGGTCCACGGTCCACGGTCCCCGTCGCCGCGCTCGCACTCACCTCGCAGAGCTCGGCGCAGTCGGCGCGGGCGGGCAGGCCGCCGCGGTCGGTCCACGGTCCACGGTCCACGGTCCCCGTCGCCGCGCTCTCACTCACCTCGCAGAGCTCGGCGCAGTCGGCGCGGGCGGGCAGGCCGCCGCGGTCGGTCCACGGTCCACGGTCCACGGTCCCCGTCGCCGCGCTCGCACTCACCTCGCAGAGCTCGGCGCAGTCGGCGCGGGCGGGCAGGCCGCCGCGCGGTCGGTCCACGGTCCACGGTCCACGGTCCCCGTCGCCGCGCTCGCACTCACCTCGCAGAGCTCGGCGCAGTCGGCGCGGGCGGGCAGGCCGCCGCGGTCGGTCCACGGTCCACGGTCCCCGTCGCCGCGCTCGCACTCACCTCGCAGAGCTCGGCGCAGTCGGCGCGGGCGGGCAGGCCGCCGCGGTCGGTCCACGGTCCACGGTCCACGGTCCCCGTCGCCGCGCTCGCACTCACCTCGCAGAGCTCGGCGCAGTCGGCGCGGGCGGGCAAGCCGCCGCGGTCGGTCCACGGTCCACGGTCCCCGTCGCCGCGCTCGCACTCACCTCGCAGAGCTCGGCGCAGTCGGCGCGGGCGGGCAGGCCGCCGCGGTCGGTCCACGGTCCACGGTCCACGGTCCCCGTCGCCGCGCGCGCACTCACCTCGCAGAGCTCGGCGCAGTCGGCGCGGGCGGGCAGGCCGCCGCGGTCGGTCCACGGTCCACGGTCCCCGTCGCCGCGCTCGCACTCACCTCGCAGAGCTCGGCGCAGTCGGCGCGGGCGGGCAGGCCGCCGCGGTCGGTCCACGGCGGTCCCCGTCGCCGCGCTGTTCTCGCAGAGCTCGGCGCAGTCGGCGCGGGCGGGCAGGCCGCCGCGGTCGGTCCACGGTCCACGGTCCCCGTCGCCGCGCTACTACCTCGCAGAGCTCGGCGCAGTCGGCGCGGGCGGGCAGGCCGCCGCGGATACATTATTCAAATCAAATCAAATCGGTCCACGGTCCACGGTGCCCGTCGCCGCGCTCGCAACTCACCTCGCAAAGCTCGGCGCAGTCGGCGCGGGCGGGCAGGCCGCCGCGGTCGGTTACGGTCCACGGTCCCCGTCGCCGCGCTCGTTATTCGCAATATAGTCGGCGCGGGCGGGCAGGCCGCCGCGGTCGGTCCACGGTCCACGGTCCCCGTCGCCGCGCTGCACTCACCTCGCAGAGCTCGGCGCAGTCGGCGCGGGCGGGCAAAATATATACGGTGCCCGTTTTAAATCGCAGAGCTTATTTAGGCCGCCGCGGTTATCCACGGTCCAATCCCCGTGTCATCACCTCGCAGAGCTTATCGGCGCGGGCGGGCAGGCCGCCGCGGTCGGTCCACGGTCCACGGTCCCCGTCGCCGCGCTCGCACTCACCTCGCAGAGCTCGGCGCAGTCGGCGCGGGCGGGCAGGCCGCCGTGGTCGCGCTCGTAGTCTAGTCTGCGACGCAGCTCGTTTACGCCGCAGCAGCGCGCGCAATAATGTGGGCGGCGTCGGGCACGCGCCGCATCTCCAGCTGCAGCAGCGCCTCCCAGTACTTCGACATGCTCTTGTTCTCGCCGTACTCTGCGTGCGAGCCGGAGAAGGGGGATAGTACAGTATTATGCGTTAACACCACTACTATCTAAATAAGAGCCACTAAGTATGTGGCCCTTATGTATGTGTTTGATACATTATTCAAATCAAATCAAATTTATTTGCACTAAACATAGGTTTACATTGGTTGTTATTGTAATATAATGTCCCATTATGTTTTGCCTAAAGAATCTTAAGGCATACAATAATATATAGTTTTTTAAATATATTTTTATTAAATCAATTGTCATCAGGAGAATTACAAAGACATATTATTATTATTAGATATTAGAAATCATAAAAATATATTGACTATATACTTTGACAACTTTGCCATTTTATCCCTCTCCTTCATTAACTTCCTATATCAATTAACTGTAAAGTACTGTCAAAAAATACTTACTAAATATTTCTTCAAATATCTCCTTGCCTTGCTTGGGATCATTCATTCGTTTGTATTCAAGTCGGGCCCAATACAGAGGTACTTCACAATCATTGGCTTCTTCTCCCCATGCCTGTAAATTTTATGGCTATTATAATATTATACAAAAAAATCCATATCATGACTACACTGCCAATTACAAGAGGAATCATAAAAATCCACGTAATTTTACCAAATCTAATAGAACAACTGTATAAATTATGTTTATTGTAATTAACTTTTAGTACAACAAAAAGTTAATAAATAATAAATTCAATATATTGAACTTCCTTCTTTTAGAGAATCTACGAAATTTATAATATATATTACTAATAACGTAATAGCATACACTATTATAACATTAGTTTAGTTGAAACAGATATATTTTAACATAAGCATCTTGTCTTATAATATTAACATCTATGTATTCTTTTAAGATAGGTACTAGTGCAATAAAAAAAAAAATTAAAAACCTCAGCAAGTGAATCCCAAGCGAGTCGGAAGGTCCTCCGAAGTTTATCAACGTCAGATTCATTGTCGAACGCGGTGCGACGACGTATGAATTCTAAGTAGCCTAACCATAGAGCTTCGGCTTCTTTGTACGACTCCATCCCTTTTGACAGAGCCGTCTCGAATATCCCTTTCACCTATTACAATAGAAAACCAATTATAGATCTGAGCTTCTGCAGCTCAGATCTTTCATAATAGACAAAGTACTAGGTATTAAAAACATTTAATTTAATTAAATTCATAAACGTGGTAACTCAGTCCTATTTCAGTAATCAAGAAGCTTGCTTTGTACTTTGTGTTTCAGTTGAAAGGTAGTGTAATTATAGAGGTAATGGAAATTTCTGACTTCCAGAACCGTCAGTAATGAACTCAACTGAATATTTTTAGCGTATAATCAGATCAAAATATATTTATTCATGTGGGTCTATTAGACTCTTGTGATATGTCAAAAACTACCGGCATTTCAAAGAGCATTCGAACTTAGGAGAACTGACAAGAAACTCAGCTTTCATTCTTTTCAAATGTGCTTGTACATGTTTACAAAAATACAGGTACATTACATACATTAGTATACATTTTTAAATAAATTAAATATAATAGTAATATAAAAGTTACCTCTTGGAAGGTTTTCTCCTCGTGCTCGGCCTGCTGCATCTTGAGCTGCCAGAAGGTGTGTCGGCGTGGGCAGCGACGCGTGCAGGCGTCCAGCACGCGAGCAACCGTCGCCCGAGAACTGCCGCGCGCCGCCCGCGCCCACCCACACAGCAGCCCCGCCGCCGCCGCGCCGCCGCACGAGCCCGACGCGCGGTCGTACACCACCTGCACGCGCGCACGATGACCGCTAGTGTCACGACTACACACCCCCCGCGCCCACCCACACAGCCAGCCCCGCCGCCGCCGCGCCGCCGCACGAGCCCGACGCGCGGTCGTACACCACCTGCACGCGCGCACGATGACCGCTAGTGTCACGACTACACACCCCCCGCGCCCACCTACACAGCAGCCCCGCCGCCGCCGCGCCGCCGCACGAGCCCGACGCGCGGTCGTACACCACCTGCACGCGCGCACGATGACCGCTAGTGTCACGACTACACACCCCCCGCGCCCACCCACACAGCAGCCCCGCCGCCGCCGCGCCGCCGCACGAGCCCGACGCGCGGTCGTACACCACCTGCACGCGCGCACGATGACCGCTAGTGTCACGACTACACACCCCCGCGCCCACCCACACAGCAGCCCCGCCGCCGCCGCGCCGCCGCACGAGCCCGACGCGCGGTCGTACACCACCTGCACGCGCGCACGATGACCGCTAGTGTCACGACTACACACCCCCCGCGCCCACCCACACAGCAGCCCCGCCGCCGCCGCGCCGCCGCACGAGCCCGACGCGCGGTCGTACACCACATGCACGCGCGCACGATGACCGCTAGTGTCACGACTACACACCCCCCGCGCCCACCCACACAGCAGCCCCGCCGCCGCCGCGCCGCCGCACGAGCCCGACGCGCGGTCGTACACCACCTGCACGCGCGCACGATGACCGCTAGTGTCACGACTACACACCCCCCGCGCCCACCCACACAGCAGCCCCGCCGCCGCCGCGCCGCCGCACGAGCCCGACGCGCGGTCGTACACCACCTGCACGCGCGCACGATGACCGCTAGTGTCACGACTACACACCCCCCGCGCCCACCCACACAGCAGCCCCGCCGCCGCCGCGCCGCCGCACGAGCCCGACGCGCGGTCGTACACCACCTGCACGCGCGCACGATGACCGCTAGTGTCACGACTACACACCCCCCGCGCCCACCCACACAGCAGCCCCGCCGCCGCCGCGCCGCCGCACGAGCCCGACGCGCGGTCGTACACCACCTGCACGCGCGCACGATTACCGCTAGTGTCACTACTACACACACCCCGCGCCCACCCACACAGCAGCCCCGCCGCCGCACGAACCTGACTGCACACGCCGTACCGTCAATACGTATGTAGCCCGTGTAATTGGGCAATACCCCGGGTAATCGTCCACCCCATCGATAGATCCCCTGTTCTATTAAGTAAGTAATCCCCCCCATGATCGCCGCTGCATTAGCACGACGCGCGGTCGTACACTACCTGTACACGCCGTACTGTCAATACGCATGTACCCTGTGTAATTGGGCAATACTCCGGGTAATCGTCCACCCCATCGATCAATCCCCTGTTCTATTAAAACGGCCATCAAAACCTCGCCGACCTGAGACGAGATCGAGCCGAGTCGAAATCCTAGGTATGCCCTTAGAAAGGAGTCGTATACGTCACGCCGAAGATGGTCTTCTGCTGCTTCAAGGAGCCACCTTGGAGCTGCAGAAGAGCATCTTCTACTACCTACCTATTCCGAAGGATAGGAGTCTATCTCATTATCATCCAGTGAAGCAATAAAAATCAATTACCGTAAATAGCACTAGAATAGTTCAAAGAAATGTGATACAAATAATAATAATATTTTAGTATACACATTAGAAACTAAAGTTATCCGAACTTCAAATTAACTAAGCTACTGGCTTGATTTTAATAACACAGAAACAACTATGTAGGTGTGAATATAATAATATACCTATATATATAGTAATAAAATTTCAAGTCTCGTACAGATATATTTGCCAGAGCATGCCTATAGCAAATACGCATAGGGGATTGTCCATATTTTGATAACAATATTACAAAGTGTGTACCTTGAGTATTCCGTTACAGTCGCACTCGGCATACTTGTCACGTTGTGCAAGATCCTTCAACGTTTCAATGTAATCCTGATAAATTTTATACTTTTCCTCAATGTTTCTGCAATAAAAAAAAAATATTAACATTTATCATCACATGGGGCCATCCATATAATTACATCACACAAATTTCATCTTTCATTCAACTCACAGCTGGTCACATATGACTAGCTTTTGCCCGCGGCTTCGCTCGCATTAATTTAACCCTTTAGGGGTGGAATTTATCAAAATCCTTTCTTAGCGGATGCCTACGTCATACCTGCATGCCAAATTTCAGACTGATCCGTCCAGTGGTTTGGGCTGTGCATTGATAAATCACTATGTCAGTTAGTCACCTTTGAGTTATATATATTTAGACTCCCTCACCCTAGAGTAATGTCACATATTCTACAACTTTATTTATTCTTATGTAAATATTTTAAGGTTTTTGCTAAAAGCTTAAATTTTGTTGTTAAATACATAAATACAATATATTCAGATTCAAATGCGACGTCACGAAACATAAGAACCATCACTCCCACCCCTTGTTACAAATTGTCGTTTCTCTCCTTCCCCATAACATATGACGTCATTTATGGACGGCCTCTAACATAAAGGAAATAAAATCTGTTTACATTATTTGTTTGGAACATTCGTTGAGCGACTTTGACTCACACCTGACTAATTTTATTTATATTATATAAACTTACTCTGTTGTAAGAAGCTTATCTTCAAATGGTGTTATTTTTTGCAAATAATCTACAGCTGCCTCGTGTTGCTTCTTTACCTGTAATCAATTCATCAGAGATTTAAAATAAATAATACTGAATTGTACATATTACATTTTTTTTGTAAATAATTAAAAAATATTATTATATAATAATAATAATTCTAATAATCATCTCAAGACAATTCACACAACGCCATCTAGACCCAAGTTAAGCTAGCTAAAGCTTGTGTTATGGGTACTAGATAACTGATGCAAATACATAGATTTTTTTTTGTAAATATATACATATTATACATTGAAAATACCCAGACCGATACAAACGATCATACTCATGAATACAAATGTTTGTGCCGTGCGAGGAATCGAACCCGCGACCATCGGACGTAAAACGGTGGGCTGGACCGCTAGACCATCGAGGCCGTCTTGGATACACATTGGATACTTTGTAATACTACATGAAGCAATAAAATAGAATTAGAAGTCAAACTCACTATTCTGAAATAATTAAATAAAAAAAAATCCAAACACTTTCAACATTTAAATTTAGACAAAAACCGTGATATATGTACATACAACCATTCAATAAATTAACCTTTTCAATATATTTTTCATCATGTAACACAGTGGCCAACTCTTGCAGTTGTGGCCATGCTTCTTCTCCTCGCAAAAGCGGGCGGGAAACGATCTCTTCAAGACACCATAGTACACGTTCTTGCTGCGCTTTATATTCCGTGTCTTCTTCACTGAAAATGATAGCCAATTTACTACCACAAATATTTAATTTAATTATCTACCACCTTCAAAAATAAGAAATTTCTAAGTTTAACTATTTAGTTTATACATGGTTTTTAGTATATTCACGAAATCGGATTTAAAACTTTTTATTCACCTAATAAAGTAAAAATTGGTTTGTTATTTTTATAAGATTTAAGAAAGTGCAAAAAAAACAGAAAACTAAAGATTTTTCTGAAATAAATTCTTTTTCTTTCCTCTTTTTCTAATGAATCTGCACTTACCTCATAGTCTCCAACTGCGATTTTTCCAACTCCAGCTTGGCGTCCCAAAACAACTTCCCAGAGAAGGGATCTGCACCTGCACGTCGCAACACTTCGTCGAGCTGCTCGCGCGCCGCTGCCACATCACCGACCCCCATCGCCCATGTGCACCACTCAGTTAGAATTGAGATTGCTATTAACATATAATATAATACATTAACAAATAAGCAAATTTTCAATAAGTTTTATTTACCTGAGGGCAAAGTAATTAAAATAAGAAATATATTTAGGATATTTGCCTACATTACAATGCAACATGTAGCTTTAGTAAGGATATACTAAATCATTGTAGCTTAATGATTTAGTATATCCTTACTAATATTATAAATACGAAAGTATTTAAAATTTTTTAAAACACTAGTCATAACAGACCAAATATATATATATATATACACATAGAAATGAAGTGAGTAATATTAAATTCATGCATGCAATAGCTTCACATGAAGAATTAGCATTAATTATTTAAGTGAGATTAATTATTTAAATTTTCTTAATTGTACATTAAAACTATACTCTAGTTCTTAAAAATAGGTACTTACAGTAACAGTCTAGTGTAGCCTGCTTAAACAATTCAGCGATACGTTCACGCGATTGCCACGTGTGCGCCAGTGATGCCTCTGTCTGCAACCATAGCAGCCAATGTTCCGCCCTCAGTGCCATCATCTGCTGCAGCCTCTCGAACGCACTTCGCCATCTATCTAGCTCTGTTAAGGCCCTATTAAAAATAAAAAATGCATAAGTCATTTATCTGTACAAAAACATTGAATAATAAAAATGTAATTAATTACCAAATCATGTAAATGTAACAATGAATGTGTAGTTAGTAGTACTAAATGGTATGCTTTACACAATTTTTAATATGATCTAGTTTGTAGCTATTTAATGGACTTAATTTTGATCAATCAAACTTAAGTCTATAATAACCCTAGTTAATTAATTAATGATTTATGTTGTAGCATTTTTTGTCAGTGTTATTTTATTTATATCTTAGCTTTTTTAAAGCAATTACAGGCATTGATACTTTGCATTCGAACGAATTCAAAGTTAAATAACTTTATTACGTTAAAATAAATTTTAATTATGTTTTTCAATATGAAAGCCTTTATTATAGTAGATCATACGGCATCTTCTTGGCCATGCCTTTAAAGCTCGGTTGATCATTATTTGTGGGATTTTCTTGACCTCTTCCCGTAAAGTCTTTTTAAGCGACAATATTGTCTTCACTTTTCGCTTGTTCATTCGCTTCTTCAGATATCCCCAACAAAAGTAGTCCATAGGAGCACAATCAGGACTGTTTGGTAGCCATTGATGAGATGGAATGAAAGTAATTCTGCTTGTCTTAAGGAACTTTTGGGTCTTTTTTGACATATGACTTGGGGCTGAGTCTTGATGGAAGACACAGTCCTTATTTGGGTACAACTTTGGTATATCGTGTCGAATAAATGGATTTAAGATCTTCTTTATGTAGTACTCTGTATTGATCTTTGCACCGGGTGTCACAAATCTGAGAGAAGTACAGCCATTTGCCGAAATGCCCAACCATACCATAACACCCTTAGGATGTGACTGTTGTTGGTATACGTCTAGGTCTTTGCGAGTTTGTCCTCTGGATTTGTACTGGACACGTGTTTGACGATTACGGTTAGCAAGGTAAAACCATGCTTCATCAGTAGTGATGAACTTTTTCCAACGATTACATCACAATTTCATATACATAGGCCAAGAACGGCAGTATCTCTTTTGCACCGAACCCGGACTCAATGCTTGTACTTTCGGTTTTTGGGCCAACTTTTTATTAAGTTTTTTGTCTATTTGATACCTCACAACATGTCTCTTCACTTTCAAGATATCGGCCATCGCTTGTTGTGTCGGAGGGTTTGGGTTATTAACCATAGTTTCCAGTTGTTTGAATTGGCGTTCCGTTAGTGGTGGTTTACGACCCGGCGGTTTACCCTTTGGCTTGATTTGGTTAACATTTTCACTTCTCTTCTTGATCTCAGTTATGGTACTCTTAAGCAATTTGATTTTCAGACCTTTAAAGTGTTTTATTATTCGAGAGTATGACCACTTAATACTTAAAAATGCCAAAACCTGATGTTCCACTTCAGGAGCTGTTCTGGCCACCATTTTGATTGTGATTGGTATTAAATTTAATATAAACAAAAATAGAGAATTCAATATTTATTTTTATATGAAACCTGATTACTAAGCTTTCATTACAGTTTTACAATTAACTATTGAATTCGTTCGAATGCAAAGTATCAATACCTGTACAACAGTAAAACATGGTAAAATGTAAACTGATGACCAACCTGATAACCACCTGTCAGGCACCCAGAAAACCATCCCCTATTTACATAAACAGCACTATAGGCATCACATTACCATGTGACACCATTGATACAACACATACCTTACCTTTCGAGTGTACTAAGATGTTATGCCTCTTATTCTGTGATTTACTTAGTTTTACTTTATTTTATAATTTTCTTATCATAAAGTAAAGCCAATTTGTTAAAGACATGCAGTCTTTAGCAAAGTCAGACTTCATGACTGCTACTTTCTTTGCTACTTTATACTTCAACAGCCACCTTGCCATCCAGTGCATGCAATTTAAGCACTCATATGATAGGTAATTTTTATTTTAGGGATTTTTTTTATGGATGTCAATGGAATGGTGCTCCCGCGATGAGCATAAGGTCAGGTCTGTGGGTAATTGTATTATGAATATTATGTGGGTACTGTATTGCATGTTCCTTTATTAAACAGTCTCAATCAAAACGTCTTTCTGTTAGCACCTTGGTCCTGCACCTTGACATGGCGCAGCCGGTATTAAAATAAATATATATATAAATAAAATTGGTAAAAGTGTATTTTGAAAGTATATACATACAATTGGAGAAGAAGAAAAAAGATAATAATTACGTGCAAAATGGAATCTGTTTTACAACCACCACAACCGTTTCTTTTTGAAAATGACCTTGTAAATGTCACATATTTAAGCAGAGAATGGGAGAAGTGGAAAAAATCATTTTTAATATACTTCGAAGCTTGTGAATTATCGAAAAAAGAAAAAAAGGTACAGATTAATATTTTGTTGCATATAATTGGAGAAAAATGTCGTGAGATATACGACCAGTTCACAGAAACATTCAAGACTATTGAGGAGGTGATTCAAAAATTTGATGATTTCTTTTTACCTAAGAAGAATCTAACAATAGAGCGACATAGATTTTTCACTCGGAACCAGCAAGATACGGAGACGGTTACGCAATATGTTTTTGAATTGAATAAAATGGCGGCTAAGTGTGAATTCAAAGATTTATGTAGCGATCTTGTACGCGATAGATTAATATGTGGAATAAAAGATGCAGCAATGAGAGAAAGATTATTGCGTGAATATAATTTAACATTAGAAAAGGCGGTAGACATATGTAGATTGGCGGAATATGCGCAAGCTGAGCATTTGAAACGAAAATCCTGAATATCATGTACATGATGTGAAGAATAATAATAACGAACATTGGAGGGAACGGATGATATTCACTGGATAAATCGTGGATCTTCAAGAACCAGAGCCAACCGGGGTGTACGGCGGATTCCTTCAGATCGTAGGTCGGGTCACGTACCGACTTCATCTCATGGCGTGAAAACGAATCGGTTTTCGTCGAACAGTGAGTGTAATAGATGTGGTCGCATCCATAATAGGTACAAATGCCCTGCATATGGACAGAAGTGTAACAAGTGTAGCCGCATGAATCATTTCTCAAGAATGTGTAGAATATTTGAGGTGCTGGAGGAGGATTCCACCGATCAGGTAATTCATAACCTTAATTACAAGTTCATTTAGTAGTGATTGGTTAGTAAAATTATATATCAGAGGTCAGCTGGTTGATTTTAAGTTAGATACAGGTGCAGACGTAAACGTTATTCCGTTAAAATTATTATCCAAATTAAGTACAAACAAAAGCGATTTGACGAGTACGAAAATTAAATTACAGGCATATTCTGGTGACAGCATTAAAGTTATTGGTAAATGTTATTATAAAGTAACTCATAAACAGAATAACTATATTTTAAAGTTCATTATTGTTGATGTTGATTCTTCGGCTATTTTAGGCAGGAATTCATGTGAGGAATTACAATTAATAAAACGAATTATGTCCGTAAGTACAGAGGATAGTAATAACAAAATTTTAAATAAATATTTGGATGTATTCACTGGATTGGGCTGTTTACCCGGTAAATACAAAATAAAATTACATAAAAATATTAGTCCTGTGGTACATGCGCCTAGAAAATTACCAATAGCCCTCAAAGAAAATGTTAAAAATACTTTATTAGAAATGGTGAACGATGGTATAATAGCGAAGGTGGATATGATTGGGTCAACAGTATGACTGTTGTCAAAAAGCCAGTGGAGATCTACGCATCTGTTTAGATCCCCGAGATTTAAATAAGGCGATTAGGCGGGAGCATTTTAAGTTACCCACGTTTGAGGAAATTACGTCAAATTTATGTGGTGCAAAATTTTTTACCACTTTGGATGCTAAGCAAAGTTTTTGGCAAGTCATGTTACACGAGGACAGTACCGATCTATGCACGTTTAATACACCATTCGGTAGGTATAAGTTCTTACGGATGCCGTTTGGTATCTCTTCAGCGAGTGAGATATTCCACAATAGACTTTATAATCACTTTGATGATATAGAAGGTGTTATTTTGTTCGTTGACGATTTATTAGTTTATGGGGAAACCAAGGAAGTTCATGATATACGTTTAGAAAAGGTATTGCAGCGGTGTCGTGATATAAACATAAAATTAAATAGAAAAAAATGTAAAATAGGACTAACAGAAATAAAATATTTGGGACATAAAATAGCTAAAAATGGTGTGTATCCTGATGATGATCATATTAAGGCGATAAAAAATATGCCTACTCCTAAAAATAGAAAAGACATTGAGCGATTTTTGGGGTTGGTCACTTATGTAGGTAATTTTATCCCTAATTTATCGGAGAAAACGTCACTGTTACGCGAATTACTGAAGAAAGAAATTGTGTGGCACTGGGACGACAGACATGAACAGTGTTTCAGCAATATTAAACAGTGTTTAATTCGACCACCTGTACTACAATATTATAATTTAAATAAGCCAGTCACTATATCTGTAGACGCCAGTAAAAATGGTTTGGGCGCGTGTCTATTGCAAAACAATTTACCGGTATGTTATGCATCAAAATCTCTAACCAAAGCGGAACAATCATACGCACAAATAGAAAAAGAGTTGTATGCTTGTTTGTTTGCTTGCGAAAAATTCTATACATATATATACGGTAGATCAGATGTAACTATAGAAACAGATCACAAGCCGCTAGTAAGCATAATTAATAAACCTCTGTATAGTACCCCCGCACGTTTGCAACGGATGTTGTTACGTTTACAACCTTATTCATTCAATCTTGTCTATAAGCCGGGTAAGTATCTATATATAGCGGATACACTATCGCGTGCAGTAGCACCGAGTGACGGGGCGCGCGTTACACAGCGCTGTGATTACTTGGACTTGCAAGCGCAAGTGTGTGCAGTGTCTGCCAGCAACCCATTGACAGACACTCATTTTTTGCAAATACAAAAATGCACTAAATCTGATAATGAACTACAAGAATTAATAAAACTAATAAGAGAGGGATGGCCAGAACATAAACATCAGGTACAGAGTAACGTGTTAAAACCTTATTGGGATATTCGATTTGAGCTTACTGTATCATTTGGTATTATTTGGAAAGAAAATAAAGTCGTAATTCCAAAATGTATGCGTAGGGAGATGATAAAAAAAATTCATGTCGGTCACATGGGTGTAGCAAAATGTAAAATGCGTGCACGAGAAATAATGTATTGGCCTAACATGAGTGCTCAATTAGCAGATTATTTATCAAATTGCCAATCCTGTTTGACGTATAAAAAACAGAACGCCAAACAATATATATATATATATATATATATATTTCAATTCAAAATTATATTTATTAGTAGTAGATTATTATAGTAAATTTATAGAAGTGGCGAAGTTGAATTCTCTGAAGTCAAATGATGTTATTGAAAATTTAAAATTAATATTTTGTAGGCATGGTATTCCGGAGATTGTAATGTCCGACAACGGTCCTGAGTTTTCATCTAGTATTTTTAAAACTATTTTTTCTCGTAATTGGAATTTTCAGCATGTCACTTCGTCGCCAAGATATCCACAGTCTAATGGCCAAGTTGAAAGGTCCATTCAAACTATTAAAAATATGATGAAAAAGACAAGTCATGATCACGCTGATTTTAAATTAGCATTGTTAGAATATTTAAATACGCCTATAAGTTTCGAAATTCCTTCGCCGGCTGAGTTACTGTATAATAGAAAATTACGTAGTATATTACCTAGTTCACCAGAATTGCTGAGGCCTAAAATACATAGAAATATAGATACTAAGTTGAGAGCCCGTCAAAATATGCAAAAAATGTATTATGATCGTCATGGATGTAGGAATTTAAAACCTTTAAGTGTAGGTCAAAAGGTTAAAATTAGAATGCAGAAACAATGGGAACCGGGCACAATAATAGATATTGCAGGTATACGTTCCTACGTTGTGCGAATGTTATCAGGGGATATTGTTAGACGCAATAGAAGACATATTATTAGCGACAGTGATCAGCGAGTCGATGACTCATTACCCTTGTGCTCGTCAAATCGTTATGATGATAGTTACAGTTCGCACACTCCAGCAACCACGTTATCAAATCAAGCCAGTGACTACAACAATGAAAATAATTCCAATGTAAATATTAATGGTCATTTTACACGTTATGGCAGGGAAGTGAGACGCCCTGATTGGTGGATAATTCCTGACAGCTGAGCAGGTGCATAGACCTACTACACAACAAACTACATACATACTATGAACCTGAATGAAAAACTGTAATTTCAAATAAAATATAATAAATTGCATGCTAGTGAAATGATATTTTGTTTTTGTATAAATGATTTTTAAGACTAATAAAATGTAAATTGATATAAAATGAATGCAATTAAATGGCAATATAAATAAATAATGTAGAATGTAATGACATTTAAATATATATGTATAACTAAGCAACATTGTTTACTAATCAATGTCATAACATTAAATTCAATTAAAACAAAATTATAAGCATCAAGTAGAGATTCTAATTGTATATGTATTCATCAATGTTGAAAATTTAAATAGCCAATGGCACTAATATGTGTTAATTAATTTATAAAGATTGTATATTATTAATATTTAATTTCTTCCATCAGTTGTGTTTATGTAATTGTGATTGGTAAGAATAAAGATGAATTTAAAAATAAATTTATATAGTAATAAAAAATAAAATATATATATATGTAGTGAAATATGGATATAAACTACTCTATTACTACTACTACTACTACTATATTACATTGTAAATACAAAATTACAAATATAAATATGTCTTAATTTTATTATGTTGAAATAATTATTAATATAATATATAAGTAAGCGTCAAAAGGTATATATAAATATAGATTGTGTAAATTTTTATACATACATACTTCATTTATTTTGATAAGGGGGATGTGGGTAATTGTATTATGAATATTATGTGGGTACTGTATTGCATGTTCCTTTATTAAACAGTCTCAATCAAAATCTTTCTGTTAGCACCTTGGTCCTGCACCTTGACCAGGTCAGTTAGCCCATTATGACAAATTCACCAGGAATTTATCACAATGGCGGGATTGTGATGGGGGCACCGCAGGTCAACCAGACAGGGTACATTGCTAGCAATAAAATCAACAATCCCCTTTTGCCCCCCAATTTAGGGGTTTGGGCAGTTGCTTGCACTGTAGTACTTTAACCTATTGGAATCTATTGTGTTTACTCTGTTTCAGAGTTAGCTATCTAAACCTCTTAGGAATAAAATGTTTGAGATACACAGGCTAGAGGTTGGGTTTTGCATAGGAGACACATATAAGGGAGTATTTTGAGTACCCTATTAGGTCTTTTGAATGTACTGATCCTAGCAGTGATTTAATGTTATCAGTAAAAAGTAACAAAGTTATTTATTTAAAATGTTTTAGGCATTGAAGCATGCCACAGATGTGTTAAAGGCCATATTGGGTCTTTTTTAACATAATATATTGCCCAATTGATCAACATTTTCTACTTCCTACACTTTTTAGTAATATTATACCATATCTAGAATGGATACTAAAGAATTGATAGAAATTGAAATACTAAGAACTAGACAACAAAGTCTGTTAATAATAATAGCTTAACATTTCGAATACAATTTAAAAATATTATTTTATCACTACTATCAAAAAATTTTGTAAGTGAATAGATAACCATTCATCATCTTACCATAATGATTGTATGAGTTCAATATGATCATCATAGTTATATGGATCCTCCCCGATGCGCCGTTCCAGTTCAGCTACTTTCCTCTCAAGTGCACCTTCATCATCATCATCCTAAAAGGAAGTACCTATATGTAAACCTTATTGCATATGATGCTTAAATGTCTACCTAAATGATTGCATGAATTTGATGTGAAGATTGTATCACAAGAACAAACATAGACCATTATTTGTATAAAAAACACAAACATAGTTGCAGGAAAGAGTTATTAACTGAATTCCATCATTAGAGAAAGATTGTATTTTCCAGATGAATCGATGAGAGAATGTTAGGTTACATGGTTTAATTAAAGATGTGTAGATATCACATGCAAAATATGTAAGAACAAAATGTACTTTGAGTTTAATGTTGTCCATGATGTTGTCACTGAAAAATTTTTTTCTATATAAAAATGTTAGTATTTATATTGTTCGAAATTTAAAAAAGTACTGCTATTAATTAAATATAATAATTCTGTTATTATATGTAAATACTAATGTAACAGTAACAGCAGAGATTGACACTGTACAGGAATCACCTAACATAGCACTCTTTGTATGGTGCCACTTGTAACATCGCTTTCTATTTTTATATAGAATTTTATGTACTCGCATGACTATGATGTAAACAAACAGAATGGAATATGTGGTCCTGGTCCTGATTCCTGATTCCTCACAAAGGATTTTGCTTGATATTTTCAGACCTTGTTTGTAAATTTTGATTATGCTTATGGCAAAGATTGAAGATAATTAAATTCTAACCCAATACGGAAGCGAATTACGAATTCTAATTGCAGGTTTGCTGGTAAGTTTTTAAGGATAAAAAAGCTAGTTAGTTTCAAAAATTTGCTATAAATTAAGGTTTACTTCAATCATATAAAGCAATTTAAGAAATACATCTAAGGTAAAGTTTTTTTTTATAAATACGGATATTGCTTACATCTGAATCATCAGAATCTTGTTCCGCATCATCTTCCTCCACAACAACTTCTATCTCATTCTCATCTTCCGATTCATTTCGCACCTCATCTTCCACGATTGCCATTGCTTACAGCGACTGTAAAAACACTACGCAGAGTTTTTACAGTAGGTAATCCGTGTTTGATAACAAATTAAATGCTGCCCAGCAAAGCAAACGATGAAAGAAGAACGATGGCGGAACTGTCAAATAAAATTTGACTTTGATTATTAATTATATGACGTTTATGAATCCTGTTGCTATCTAGAAAAAAAAATAACAGTTTTTTGTATTCAGCTATATAGTAAATAAAAAACAACGACAAGCAGTAGAACAAGCAGTCTTATAAATACTGGATTTATTTGCGTTATGAATTGAAATTACTATTATACAAACATCCGTAGATGTAGACTTCTTTCTAAGCATAATTTAGGGAAAAGTATGATAGTCATTGCAAGGAACATAATACTCTAAAGAGGTCATTTGGTAACACTGCTTTTGTCTGTCAGTATCAGAATAGACTGTGTCAGTCAGACAATATTACAGAGTACATTTGTATCTAAGACAATATAAAACCGAATACAACTACACACACAAACGTCTATTCTATTCTATTTAGTGCTTTGAAGAGTGTTTATGACCACACACATTGAATATTTTCTTGAATTCCTTTTTTAGGTGGTTTCGGGCGTTTACCTTTTTTATATGATTTACAAACAAATTATAGCATAATTGAAAACATTTTATTTTACTAGTAAGTTAATTTGTTGATACTTGCCACGCAGCTCAAGAGCAAATACCAAGAAACAAAATGTCTAACGAAACTGGAAAAAATGTAAGTCACTCATTTTTCATTCTATTTAAGTTACAAAATATTGTAATGCCAAATCATTAATACCTAATTACTTTGTATAATGTTTACAGTACATACTTTTTATGTGTTGCGTCGTATAATGGATTGGTGTCTTGTTCGTGTAGGAATTTTGTGTCGTCGGCGAAATGGATCACGGTACAGTTAACAACGGACGCGTGCGTTGAAGATATCTGTGATTGTTTACAAAATTGTTGCGATTGCACATCGTTATATGATGTTTCATCTATATATTAGTATAAGTGTATGTAGCACAAAAGAATTGTAATGAAGTATCCAACTTTGAATGCTTATCAGTGTTTATTTTTGTTTATTGTTTGTTGGTATGCATAACTTCATTACCTTATCTTTGTGTAATTGTTGAACAATGTAGGACATAGAACTAAATGTTTGAGTTGATTGAATTGAAGAATTGAAAGTTTTTTTTAATATATAAAAATGGAATGGTGTACCCTCCAGTGCTAACAGTTTACGCTAGGCGACATCAGTCAAGGATGATAAGATGAGCATCAGGTCAGGTCAGTTAGCCCATTGTGATAAATTTACCAGGAATTTATCATGATGGTTTCCAGGGGGTACTGCGTGGAGGTCAACCTGACATGGTACATTGCTAGGTCATCAGTTCACATTACTAACAATCCCCTTTCCTAAATTTAGAAGTATTAGCAATCAATAATGTGTGTCATATAGTGTCAGTCAATCTGTGTAATGATGTATCTATGTCTTTGTGAAACAAAATTTATTGGTATGTTTGGGATAACCTCGAGAAACTACTGTACAAATTTTCAAGTTTATTTCTTTTATCAATAAAACAGACAGTCCTGAGTGAGAGGCTCTGATAAATATATCAATATAAGTTCTATTCTGTCCATGTTACTGAAATAATATATATATATTATTCACAGTTTTCCAACCTGGAGACCCCTGGGTATGTGGGGTTTGCCAACTTACCAAATCAAGTACATCGTAAGTCTGTAAAGAAAGGCTTTGAGTTTACACTGATGGTTGTTGGAGAGAGCGGACTTGGGAAGTCTACACTTGTTAATTCCTTATTTTTGACTGATCTGTACCCTGAGAGAGTTATACCTGATGCTATTGGTTAGTATTTTTTTTGTTATCTAAATTATTTTAGGGATTTTGTTACCAAACATGGCAATACCATTATATCTAACCTAACTAACAAAAACTAAACAAAAAGTAAATAATTACTGAATGAGAGTGATCTATTTATCAACTGGCTATTATCAGGGAACACAAACATTGGAATCTTAGAAGAAGGGGATGTGGTATGCCCTGAATAATATCCACATCAAATTTTTTAATTTCAAAAGTTTTAATAAATAGTTTCCTCTGTTTGATTCTTATCACACTCCATTAATAAGTTGGACATCTTCGAGGTTAACATTATGATAATATAAGCTGGCTATGAACCTAAATGCTTCAAATAATATATTCCTATAAATAATAATTCAAAATTACTGTTTGCACTGTTTGATATTTGCTTATTTCTTCGAAATCATACAGGGCATCTTGATAAATGTTTCACTATTATTTTAAGAATTAAAGGTTTATAGGACAAAGATTTGTGCAATCAGTTTATTAAATAGTTACATCCATATAGTTATTACTATATCCATAAATTATACACTTGTGTAAGGTAGTAGTGAGTTCCTAGTTTTAAATAAAAATAAAATAAACACAAGTTATATTTAATATTATTTATAACAAATATTATTTATCTGTCTATATTGTCCTGCTATTAAAGGAACTACATATATTTATAATATAATAATATTTATATTATAATAAGTTATTAATCATTATATGTACCATTTATTCAGACCTTATCTTGTTTTTTTAGTTGTTTGGTTTTATAGATATATATGACTGTCTGCTTCCTTCCAAGCAAAGGCTGCCTCTATTCTGTTTTAAGAGATTCTGGTCCAAAATTAATGATAATGATTATTAATTTTTCTATGTACACATTCATATTTGCAGAGAAAACAAATCAAACTGTAAAGCTAGATGCATCTACAGTAGAAATAGAAGAACGAGGTGTGAAACTCCGCTTAACTGTTGTAGACACACCTGGTTATGGAGATGCCATTGATAATACTGACTCTTTCCGAGTGAGTATAGGCTTACTTTTATATGACATGTCATTATTTGCTTTATATAATCTTTAATAATATCCTCACGACCGGCGTCAAGCAGCTTGCTTTGTAAGATGTGATTCTGTTGAAAGGGAAAATTAATAGTATGAAAGAATGATATCTTTGTACTCTGGAATGGCAATGTGGTCGTATTTAGTGTATATACCACTTAATACCACCATATTGCTATTCCAGAGAACCAAGATCAATGTATGCACAAGTCAGTTCAGTTTGTCTATGTACACATAAATATATAAAGGTTTACCTTATCTTTTACAGTAATAACTTATACAGACTCATCATATTATTAATCACGATATCCTACTTTTGTGTCCGAAATGTTTAATTACAGACTTAAAACTTTTTTTAAGATGGTGCTATAAATGTAAAGTCAATTAATTCTTTCCTAACACCATAACCAGCATAAAAGTTAATACCACTTCTTAAGTATAGTACTATATATACAACATGAAAGGTTGACAATTTACTGCCAAAAAAAATCATCAAGGATAGATTTTATTATGATTCTTAGTTTTAGTACTATTTTAAAAAATTAACTGAATACAAGTTTTATGCTCAACTAGTTATATAAATTTTACTTTATAGACAGTTGTTGCGGGTTTTACTAAACTATGTTTTTTGTACTCAGTCTATTATACAATATATTGACGAGCAATTCGAGCGATTCCTGCGAGATGAGAGCGGCCTCAACCGGCGGAACATCGTGGACAACCGCATACACTGCTGCTTCTATTTCATTTCACCGTTTGGACATGGGTATTGTCTTTTGTATTCTATACTTAAAAGAAATTAATCTCGACTATCAACACGCAACTCTTAAAAACTAATATTTGTGACCAAAATAAAATTTTGAAGTTAGGGAAAATATTATGAATAATACATACTAACTAATGGTTTTTTAAAACTAAAGGACACGATATGGTACGAAAACAAAAAAACGGATGTGTTAAATATAAATATATACATCATTATTTTTCTCCCCTGCTTTGTTTATGAAATATCCTATCCTGTTTACAATATATACATACATTTACAATTTCTAGAGAGCCACGGCTTTGCATGGTGCACCCGAGTTGCTGTTTATTTATTACTAAGTAACCCGCGCAGCTTCATCTGCGTTATATTGTCACTGTTTTTGTAACATTTTTCATTACATAGCTTCTATTGGTAGTAGCGTATTATCCGATAAATGGTCTATACAACATTAAAAGAATTTTCAAAGTCGGATCATTATTACCATATATTACCTGTACCATACATTACCTACATACAAATTCACGCTTATTGTATTTTGTATAGTGTAGAATGTAAAAGTTGTAGGTATTTCTTTTTAATAGTTATTTAGCCCGTATAGTGATGATTTAGTTTTTCAAATATTAAAGATTACTTTGATATTAGTACAAGTATAATATTTCTAATTTATGTGACTTTTTATTTTATTTATGGACATTTACGTCTTTGGTAGATTATAAAATATAGAATATTTAAATGTAACCAAATTACTTTGTTTTTGCGATTATATTTTATATTACTGTTAAATTTTATAAGCAGCAATTTTAATAGTATATTATTTGAGACATATAAAGATTTTAGATTATTACTATTATTATAATGTAAATATGTGATTAACTTTACTGATTTTTTATCATAGGTTGAAACCTCTGGACATTGAATTTATGAAACAACTCCATAATAAAGTGAACATTGTTCCTGTGATAGCGAAGGCCGATTGTCTCACCAAGAAAGAGGTGCAGCGTTTGAAGACTAGAGTGAGTTCTTAGTACTTATCTATGTACAGTCTTCCTAAAATACAAATATCTTTAAATTGCCTGAAAAGTGGTTTACAGGATGTAAACATTTTATGAATCACACTCTTCACCAGAATCTGACTTGCAAAATTAATAGTGGCTAGTTGTCCTCTATATAAGAATAGTATAAATATTCCGCAGATTCATTTTATATATATATATATTTTGTTAACATATTCATTGGTAGTGTTTTATTTCATGCAACTTATTGAAATATTTTATTGCCTATATACTATACCTATTAATATGTATTGTATGGGAGAATGAGATTATATGGATACCTTGTATTAAAATTACAGTATTCACAACACTGTTTGAAATTGTTTATAGTATTGTCACCATGCCAAAGTAGTAAAACGTTTACTCATTATTATGCGGAAGTGTAAATAACGGTATCACAGAATTAGTATTACATTCAGGTATATTAAGTAGCTATCTATTTATGTATGTAGGACTAGTAGTTTATCACAACTTCATCTGAATATCCTCCTGTGAACATTGGCTATCATTTATCTCGAAATAACAGCCTATTTCCGTTCTCGTGATCAATGTACCTTCACATTTTAATCTAGAAAATGTAACAGATTAATACACTTTGGCATTTATAATACTACTTGCAGACCCGGCCACGCGTTATTGTAGCTAAGGTTCTTGAATAAAATAATATTGCGACTATAAATTAGAAGTAAGCTGAGATTTGAAGTAAATCTTAAAGTTGGATCAATATTGCACACAATGTGCAAATCAAATTTGCAATCGGTTCAGTAGTTTAAGAGTCCATCGCAGACAAACAACGTGACACGTAATTTTTCTATGTAAAGATTAGCTAGTACTGCGCGCTACTTCTGTATAATCTTGGAGTCATCTATTTTTTTTTCGATTCGAAATTTATTGATTCCCCATACAACAACAAACTACTGTTTTACCCCTTCAAGTACAAAAAAATCATGGTTCCATCTATCTATAAACCAAAATTCATCATAATCGATTTAGCGATTTAGGTGTGTAAGCATTACAAAAAAAAATGATATTATGATATCAATGAGTTGACATAATTGTGTGACCACAACAGACATTGTTCAAATGTGTGTATATGCCCCTGTTTTCAGGTTATGGAGGAAATTGAGAGAGAAGGTATCAAGATTTATCCACTGCCAGACTGTGACAGTGATGAAGATGAAGACTACAAGGAACAGGTAACATAATCATATAATACATGAATTGAGACTATCATGTGTCAGTGGCTTATTATTCTGAATTACACCTAAGGTCGCGAGATCAATTCTGGCCAATACAAAAAAAAAACTGTGGTAAAGGAAACATGTATAACGCCAAATATTTAATGGAATGTTGACGGGTACACCATGATGAGAATGAAGTCAAATCAGTTAGCCAACTGTGCCAAATCCACCGAGACTTAACCACCAGTTTCAATAGAGGACTGATATGGTATTTATATCCATATAGTACTAGTGCCTATTACTAACAATACCCTCAACCCTGTTCAGAGTATTTTTTTTCCGCCCGCAATAACGGTATATGATGGCGGGGCTCCAATGGAGGATGATAAGATGAATTTATCATATTCACAATGAATTTATCACTACGTTTTCCACGTAGATGTCAATCTGACATACTACATTGCTAGTAATGGTGTTATTAGTCCACATTATGAACAATCCCCTTCTCCCATCCATCATGTGTTTTTATGTTTATCGTGTGACACATTTCATTGTCAGGTACGTCAGCTGAAAGCGGCGGTGCCGTTCGCGGTGTGCGGCGCGGGCCAGCAGCTGGAGGTGCGCGGGCGGCGCGTGCGCGGACGACTGTACCCGTGGGGTGTGGTCGAGGTCGAGAACCCCGACCACTGCGACTTCATCAAGCTGCGCACCATGCTCATGTAATGCTCCCTTTACACTATCACGCACCCCTTCCCATCGATCCCTCGCCGAATTCAAACGGAGATCGAAATTACGACAGCCTGAGCCGAGGTTCGAATCCCTAGCGGTGCCCTCAGATTAGTGGTATACGTTAGGCGGAAGTTGGCCTTCAGCCGCTCCGAAAATCCTTCCGCGGGTTTTGAATGCCATCTGCGCTCGCCCCCTATCATCCGGTGAAGCTGTAAAGGCCAGATGAGGGAAACAGCATCAGAGTAGTCTGAAAAGAAAAACCATTATACATTTTTCAAATATAACCGTATGGTAAACAAGCTACCCAACTGATGTTAAGAGGTAATCATCACTTATATTCATGGAGGACTACTAGCCGAAGGGGGTGGTGTATCGGCGCTACCGTGGCAGATTGCCGTTATCACTGTCGTGACCACAGAGACCATTTATATTATTATTACATCACATATGTATGTAAGTTAGTCTATAAAGTATTTATAATATGGGCTATTAGTAGCCTGAAATAAATAAATAAAAGTAACCAATCAAATCAAAATATCTTTATTCATGTAGGTTTGTTTTATATGTGTATATATTTTTTTATGTAACTAGAATGAATCGGCAAATCTTAGGATGAGTGTCAATTTTTGTCCATATACATGAACTAATGAATGAGTTGCTATACAAAGGAAACTGCTTGGCAAGTGAAATGGGTGACAGAGATGACTACGCACAAAGTTTTCATCGATGTATTTTTAATTTATAATATGACTCCTGTATATGATATTTAATGTAGAGCAGCTTAAAGTGAAGAAATTGTATAATGTAGAAAGATATATACCATATAAATATATGAACTTTTTTGAATATGAGCTTGATTATTTTATTTTAAGTATAATTTACAGAACTCACATGCAAGACTTACAAGAAGTAACCCAGGAGGTGCACTACGAGAACTATCGCTCCGAACGTCTCGCGCGCAACGGACAAGTTCCCAAACGGCACACGTTAGTACTTATACTGCATTTATGTCTATTCTATATAGTTGCATGTAATCTTGAATTGACATTATTATTTTATTTTACAATACTTGTACTTAATATTTTTATACCAAGACTGATATAAATACTTGTTTATTTATATCAGTCGTTTAATAATAAACTGCATTAATATAATTGTTATTTTGGGAAATCGACTTAAAAAAAGATTTTTAATTTTAAAGTAGATTTCTTTTTATTTGTATTAATTCTATGATATATTATAATATTTATTGAAAATAATTCTACTGTTCGTAATATATAATTACTCAATAAGTGCTTATAGATAAATTGTGTAGTTAATACTAGTGTACACTGTTACCACATTAATTTGTTAATATATAAACAATGATATTTTTTTACAAAATAGGACTTTAGATTTGTTGTTTTCTACATTAGTATACACCAAAAATGGTTATATACAAAAAAATAATGAAAAAAGATTTACTAATCATTATTAGACACAGATAACCGGAACCGACGTGCGTCTATAGAACAAGTTATGAATGTAAATGAAGTAAATGTTACGTGCAAGGATAGAATCTAATGCTGTGATTCCTCCTGCCAACCCGACGTGAATTTAGATTATAGTTCTTACTTAATATTATGAATGCGAATTTAACTTTTTATATGTCGCGCTTGTTCGCCAAAACTACTGAACCGATTTAAATGAAATTTGTTACACGGATAGTCTGAATCCTAAGAAAAACGTAGGTCACTTTTTAATGCTAAAAATTGTTTATAAAGGGAAGATGAAAGTTTGTAGGGCAGTATCGTTATTATTATAGCTTATTTTTTTATGTCGTTAAGTATAAAGGAATGAGACATTCAAAGTTTGTAAAAAAATTACCCTTAAGGGAGTAAAATAAATACGGGTGAAAGTTTGTATGGAAATTCATCGTTTATTCAGCAGTAGAAAAATGCCAATATTTATCTATTGTCATTTATTTTAAGAATTCGGTTTAATTTTGAAAACCTGGGTTGAATATTGATACCAAAAGAGGAGACTCTTAAATTCTCCTCTTTTGTTGTCCTTCTTGCTGTTTATCTTATTATTTTACATATTATATAGTTGTTTTGTACTTCTATTATTTTGTGTATTTATATATGTATATATATATTGCATGTAGTTTTCATACCACTTTTGTTGTTTTTTCTCTATGTGAAGGTTGACTAGAAAAGATTGCTTACTTGCGGTGAGATCACTTTTTGTATATCTATATCTCCTTTCTGTATAATTCTTGTGTAAAGTGCTTGGTGCAATAAAGAGTTTATAAATAAATAATATTATTTCTTACAGTTCCACTGAAAGCGGCTTGAGCGAGGCGGAGTCCAACGGACTGGCAAACGGATCAAGCGAGGACACCGCTGAACGAGCATTACGAGAAAAGGTACGTAGATGTTTGGCGGTATCTAATGTAGCGAACGTATTTGAACTACTCAATATTAATCCTTATAAAGACCACAACAACAGAGAACATTAGTTCGCACAAAATTTTGTTCTTTTTTTCGTACTACTCTAATCAAAATTGGTCGAAGCTGACCGTCAGCTTCACCGGACGATAGGCGGCGAATGCAGATGGCACTCCCAACTCGCGGAAGGACTTATAGAGCAACTGAAAGCCAACTCCCGTCGGACGGATACGACTTTAGTCTAAGGGCAAGGCTAGGGGTACGAACCTCGGCTCAAGCCGTCTTAATCCCCGTTTCATTTGGATGGAGGATGGATCGGAGATTAAAGTAACACCATTTTTTTCATAACAGCAACGTATAAGATATTTATAAAATTTGTACCGGCACTGAGAGCATTCTTATATGTAATTCAACGTAGCAACGGGTCTCATAATCGTAGTCTCTTATTTGGTTTGTCTTCAGTTGAACAATAATCTATGTTGACTGATTTGAAGTCACAAAATTGGATAGTAAACCAATTGTATGTGCATTGTTCTAAAGGAAGCCGAGTTGCGACGCATGCAAGAGATGCTGGAGCAGATGCAGCGCCAGATGAAACTGCAGGCCGCTAGCACCACCACAGCATAGTGCACGCGAGACGCACAGGTATCACTAGTACAACGATATCTTTACATAGTATAAAATTAAGTAGCTTCCGCTGTCTGTTCGCTTAGATCTTTTAAACTACGTATCCTATTTAATGCAGTTTTTAGCCATATATACAGTGATTCCAGAGGAAGGTTTATATGTATATATAATACTAGTACTCCGAAACCAGTGCGGGTAGCTAGTTTCAAATAAAGCTAAATCAAAAGTATTATGCAGAATTAAAACAGTTTACAGATTTTGGATTATTATTCCATTAATTTCATTATCAAATAAGCTGTCCAAATGATATAATAGTAAAAACCCTATTAAAATCAGTTTTGTGAATTAGAAGTAAAGTGAGACTCAAACAGCCTATAACAATTTTGCTTTATAGGATTTTTTTATTATTTATGGATAGATATTATATTGGTTCATAAAGTGTCATATACATTTTTAAAATTCCAAACCGGTAGACACTAATTGTAATTGTAAAAGGTAATAAACAATAATAGATACTTACTATTTATTTCAGTTGCATGCTGGTACGACGATATATCTTCCAAACGCCTGCGACGTCGTCAACGCGATACTGCGCGTCATACCCTACTGTGTTACAACCAATTAACTCGAATATAAATATAGTAAGTAACTAACTGTAGTAACATATGGAAAACATTTTATATAGGTAACATAATTGACGGCAATGTATTATATACATACGTGGTTAACGAAGTATCAGAAATTAGAAGTATATTAATGACTTTACTTGATATCGATTCTAAGAATGGACTATGTAATCGCGCAAACGTCTACGATATGCGGTATGTGTACCCTATTTGTTTATGGTAAGGTTTAAAATATAATACATTCGTTTCAGACTACGTTCGGATATCCAAGATGTTATAAAATATAAGAAAAAAAAACAGTGCTTAGACACAATTACCTGGATTATTGTTACTATTAAAAACAGAAAAACAAATACTATATAAAGTAAAGACAAAGCATTAAAATGGTGGCAACTCTGCATTTTGAATGTGCCGCTGGTGGCACCAGTGTGCATAGAAAATACGTATGTCCCGTTCGTTCCCATGTCGGGTTTAACAGGTGATTTACCTATAATCTGTAATGGATGCGTAATTCCAAGAAGTATATTATTACGGCAATGTAAAGATTGTAACATTGGAAGAAAATATTGTATTCTGTAAATTGGCCTAATGAATACACTTGAGACTGAAAATGTGTGTTATTGATATAACGATATAATGCGATGCTCGAAGTATTGGATGTATCCAAAAATATTAATTTTAATATGTATTTTTTTTACTCTATTATAATCAGAAACTGTTAAGATTACGATTTAGTGTGAGCGAGCAGGCGATAATATTCATTTTTCGTGAATTTATGAATCCCTAGTTTACGATAATATTGATTTATAATTATAGTTGTTATAAGTATTTGCAATATATTTAACTTTATTCTTTATTTTAAATGTTCTCATGGTACTGATAAATTGAATTTTCTCGCTCTACAACAGAAATTGACGTATACGTGATATGACTATATTGTAAAAACAATATAGTTATAATTTGTTTTACTACAGATTTTTTTTTATTTTTAAGGGACGTTTTATTTTTTCTATGAATCTTGTGGTTTAATAATGTGAAACTTAAGTTTTTGTTTTGTTACTTCGTCTGCATTTCTATTGTAATATTCTATTCAAATAAACGCAAATGAAGAACGCCGTGGTATAACTCGAATTACAATACTTTTGTAAACTAGTCTGCACTTTATAACCCCGTTGTTTGATGTGGGTATAAATATTTATTAAAAAAAAAAGGAGTTTGGAAATAGTTACGGCCAATAAAATATGGATAATTATCAAATACCAAAAGTTTTCAATATCTGCAGAATAGTACTGTGGATAGCTAAGGGAATTTAATGAAGCACACATTACCCGAGTGATTGACCCAAGACCATCGGATCTAAGTACAGAGACGGTCCAAGGTCTAAGTCGCATTGGGGTAACCTGACAACATACCAACTTTATATCAACGATCATAAATGAAGTTGCGCCGTCTTTGATTGTATATTGTCAGCTTATGCCTTGTCAATTCATCGTCTACGGAGTCGTTTATCTTACGCAATTGCAATATACACAGGCATACACAACATTGGTCTTGTTCCAGTTTCTGTGAAAGGACAGATATACAGTGTATTTTTATCATAGAGGATAAAAATTTTATTACTTGTTGCAATGTTTAAAGAAATAGAAACGTTTCGGAATATTGTCGTTAGTCAGAATTCTAGTAAGTATATTAGTATGTTAACAAATCTATATTAGAACCTATAGTATATATATCCAATCACTAGTATTCTAGTTTCCTCTTTAGGGTCTCACATTAAAATTTAAATAAAAAGGAATTATTAAAATATGTTGCACTTCAGAGGTATATTAATATTAATCAGTGTCATAGACTAAGACTTCCAATTGAATTAATTATACAGTGTTAGTCGAAAAGGGTAAACTAAGCCTCAACGATATGAATTTCATATTAACCCTTATATAATTTCAGCATATTATATGCTAGGGTAGAGTAAATTTGTTTAACCTTGGCTATAGGTATTTGAGTTATCATTCGGAACTGATTCTAGATTAAAAGAGTTTGTTTCCGGACCATATTCAAATATATAAAATTTATAATAGTATATTACTATCGTTGTTAGCCTACTATCGAGAGCAATAGCAAATAAAGTGACCCTGTAACGTAAATAACACATAAAACATGCGTACTGTTAAGGGGTAGTCAGAGACATAAACAAGTGTAAATGATGTCGATGTTGTGGAGAACGCAGTACTTGACATGCTCATATTTCGCTCGGTTATATGTGGGAATAGTTTCCTGAAATTCCTCTCGATTCTAGTACGTTGTATAAAAAATTGTATCTTTCCAAGTTATATTCCTTACTAGACCAGTACGGTCCGAACAAAGAATTAGGCTATCATATAACATAAAAATCAAATTACGAATCGATAATTTAGTCTGCAATTCAAATCATTACATAGAAAATATAAATATGTAGAAATAAACTAGCAGTATGATATTTCAAATAATAGTTGTGAGATACGATTTGTGTATGTAGGTAAAATGTAATTGTATAAAAATAAATTTCTATTTTAAATTGTATATGCTTACAATATGTTCAAGTCCATTCAGAGTGAATTTAACGACACTCGAATGTTAATAATCTGATATTATTGAAGTTGTTTTTGCTAAATTACTTTGTTAGAGCACGAGATACTATACAAACCTTTTTTTTTTTAATGTAAAATATTTCAAGATTTAATTTAGATCGTATTAAAGCAGAATATTTAATTAAATTTTTATTATTGTAATCAATGACTTGTCTATTTTATGCATTTTAAATATTTTATAAACTTATGTAACCGCATGTATTCGTTTTAGTATTAATTTGAATGTCTAGTGATGTTAATGGAAGGCTGATATTGCATTGCGTTATGGAGAGGATAGTTCTAAATTATGTTAGGTACTTAAAGATCTTATTCAGTAGAATATATATCCATATTGGTGCATTTATATTTACTTCCAATATTAATTAAACAACGTAAATTATTGCATTGTGGTAGTCAATACAATTTAAATTATTATGATATTAATTGGTGCCAAAGTATTTAAATCATAAGGTTTTCTGATTCTAAACAATTACATGAATGAAATTTTAATAATTTACTGGCATATCTGCGAATTAGGTACCCTAGTATGCAATAGACATATGTAATCACTATTATATTTTTTTATAAATAAAGATATATGAATTAATCAAATTGATAATTTTATTTATTTTATTTCCAGCTTGAACCCATTTGCAAAAATGGTGACTACGGTGTGTTACTTGAGTGTCTAATAATATTATTAGACACTCAAGTAACACAGACAATATAAATCGGAGTTTAATTTGGTGCATAATATAAAAAAACCTTTGATAGTAATAGCACTAATGGACCCTACTACGATTAGTATCCCCACCCCTCCCTCTCCATCTCAACAGATAAGTATATAATCCAGTTTTAGATTAGTACTTTCTGTAACTCTCGTTTTGTTGCAGATTGCAAAGTTTATATATTAATGATGATTCTTATATCGTAAATTAATATACTCACATACAATTGTAGGCTTACAGTGGCATAGCTACCTAGGGGCTAGGCGGGGCAGTGTCCCGGGGCCCTCGAACCCTCACCAGAAAATCTCAGTCAATCTGAACTTTTCAAAATATCTCTCATTTTCAAAATACTTATGACAGGTTGCAACCCGACATTAATCGTGGAAAATCAGTTGAAAGAAATTCGAAAGTTATACCTGCGGAATTCCCCTAAATTCCTTCTGTGGGTTGGCAGTGTCAACAAACAAAACAAACTGTAATTTATTAAAGTTACCTAATTATGCCACGTAAAATTACAGGTTACGAAGGCAAGATACTTTAATCCTTTAGAATAGCAAGACGTGAGCGGTAGCATGGTCGTCACAGTTATGATATGACGAGATGGCGATCCATAAGCTGCTAAAATGTCCTACATTAATAAATGATTTTTGAATTTGATGTCCCTGCTGCTTTTGTATGTAGGCTCCTAGTAGGTAGGTGAAAATACAGTTCAAAAACTTGCGATTGCGTTTATTAGTCTTAATTATATTATTAAATGCAAAGTTATACAGAATATCCCTATTAATATTAATTAATACATATAAAATTAGAAACCATTAAATAAAATGTATATAATAATAAGAGTAACATAAGAAGTATTAACCCGTAGATATCTGCATTGGTTTTACTATTATTAATTCATATTTATGTACTTGATTACTTAGTAAGTTGTGAAACTGTTTGTATCCCAAATAAAATACCTTGATTTGATGTTAGAAAAATGCAAAAACATATTATAGTAGGTTTCAAAGGTACATCATTGTCTTCTCCTGCAAGTATGTGGGTGATCTGACTGAGGGGCTTGGCAGTATCGGGATCGGATGCTCAGTCCGGCGTATTATTATTGATAACGTAAGGGCTAGATTTCAATAGATAAAATTTTCAATTTAAATAATAATTAATATTATTTTGACAACACTTCTTACAAAACTATGTTAAAAATACTAATAGAGGAAGAAATGCTTGAGTAAACACTAAAATATTAAATATGATAAAAATAAGAGATCAATTATTACACAGAATCAAATTTAACAAATTAATTTTCAAAACTAGAAATGAACATCACATAAAATGTATTATTAAATGTAATGGGAATGTTAAAAAAATTGGGAAAGAATTAATTATCTTATAGGAATCATTAAAAAAATCGATAGACAATTGTGAAGGATGGAGACCAAGATGACAAGCAAAAAGTAAAACGGCACCGTTGTAGTTGTAGAATATTTTTGTATTGAATTGACTTATGTCATATAAAAACAATATAATATTATAAAAAATATAGACAATAAAAAGGTATATAAAATAGTTTCCAACAACAATATTATATGAAATAATATAAATAATATGAAAGATAATAATCATAATTCCCAAATTGCTAGTAACTTTGCCACAACATTCCAGTCAGATGTTGAAAACATTAAACACTTATGTGACGAGACATGTTTCCTAGATCTAGTTATGTGAGTGAATCATGAGTGCATATGAGGTGGAAGCTAGTTACGCAGTATAATGTCCAAAAAATAATCAAGCGTCTAAGTCACAGAAAGGACCTATGTACCATTCACGCCGGTTGCAACGTAGCCGAGGTCTCGCGTCTCGTGCAGGACGACGGGGACAATATTGTAAAATGGTCTCATGACAATGGTATCATACTTAATATAGAAAAAAAAACAAAATGTTAATAATAAAATCACCCTACTGTATTATAGTCACTCATAGTTACGATTATTTACACAAACAAGCAATTGCATCTGTAAACCTATAGAGTGTGTAACTTTGGTATGCAAATAGACGAATATTTTAACTTGGGATATCATATAGAAACAACTTTGTGATAAAATGCGAGTTATGTTATGTAAATTCTGCAATTTGGAATTTAAAATACCACAAAAAGTATTTATTTGTATATGGATCTCTATACATTCTATGATCGAGTATAGTCTTAAATGTTATGGTTTAACCTTTAAAACTTATATAGAAAAAATAGAAATATTACAAATAAGACTTTTAAAATTAATGGTTGGGGATAAACTAAAAATAAAATATAAAGAAGGCTATAAATAATTATATAAAATTTGTAACATTCTGTCTGCATCAGAAAAACATAAATACTTATTAGCTACTAAAAACCACAGCAAGCAACACCATACGACGAAGACAAGCCAGAGTATTGCAACTAGGAAATGTGTACAAGGGAAATACGAAACCTCGCCCTTACATCTAAATAATTATTAAGGATGTCGATTGTTACAAATAAAATTAGCCTTAAATATTTTATAAAATGTCTCAAAATATATATAAATCCTTTTGTATACATTATAAAAACCATTTATTAAAAACATAGAAATAAACATACATAAAAATCTTGTCCTAATTTAATTTTATCTGATACTTAATATTATGTGTAAGTGTATTTTATGTGTAAGTACGTTAAAATACTGTCTAAAATAATATATATAAACAGGTACCTATTTAGTAAATAGT